TGGGAGTTGAAGTCCAAAACACCTGCAGGGCTTAAGTTTGCCCATGCCTGAACTACTGGGTCACATGGCTTATATACACAGAATGAAAACAGGAAGCTATGTTGTTCATTACCACAGGCAGCAAAATGTCCTGACCTCGCCTTAGGTGGTAGGCTTTTAAATTTCAGGGGGAAAATAAATACCTGCCAGTGGTGATTCATTAGCTGCCAGTACCATTTGTTCTGCAATGGCCTTGGTTCTGGAATATTCGTTAACATGCTAAAAAAAAGGACAAAATGGAATTAATACAATTAATCACACAAGTCGGATCATTTATCATGCCCGGGAGTAAAATTATTTGTAACTAAATTAAACAGTAAAGCAGGAATGAAGTAGTTGAACAGGTAGGCAAGTAATAATAATAATAATATATTTGTATCCCACTCTATCTCCCCAAGAGGACTCAGGGCTGATTATAGAAAACATATACAGCAAACATTCAATGCTGTTATACAATTAACAGGTACAGACAATATAGGAACAGAGGTAAAGGCTTTCCCCATCTTTTTCCATTTCCGGCACCTGCGGCTGTGCCACAAGGGGTACTGTTGCTCCATTTTCCATGTCAGGGAGCTTTGTCATCCTTAGACGTCCTCCAAATCAAATTTCCGGCTTGTCCTTATGAGTGCCTCTTTTATTACTTTCCCAATTAAAGCGGTACCTGTTTATCTACTCACATTTCACATGGTCTTGAACTGCCAATCTTTGATCGGTAGGATTTTCTGCAGTTTAGAGGTTTAACCCGCTGTGCTAAGCCCGGCCCCTCTTCTCCTGCTTTCCTCTTCATACATTGTTCACAGAGGCCCCATCTACACTGCCATATAATCCAGATTATCAAATCAGCTAATCCACATTATCTGCTTTGAATTGGATTATATGAGTCAACACTGCCAGATAATCCAGTTCAAAGCAGGTAATCTGGATTTTATGTGACAATGGAGAAGGGGCCACAGTTACTATATTCAAACAAAGCTACCAAAGCATGCCCCAGCTTTCTCTAACTCAATGCCTTTCAGATGTATTGAACTACAAATGCCATTGACACCGGCCGCGGCAGAGGCCCCCACCTTCAAGCTAATTTGAACCGCAGCTGAGAGTTCCGCAGTTCCTGGGAGCCAAGTTTGGGGCCAACAGACGAAATGTGCCCCAGCAGCCAGCCCAAAACTAGTATTACACTCAACTCTCTCTCACTTTCCTCACTTTGGACCCCTCCGCCCGGGAAATAATTGTTTTGTTTTAAGCAATATATTTTGACAGAAAACAGCTGTTTGTCAAACTCCGCCGGCTCAGCGCAAAACCATCCATTTCTCCTGCCGCTGCTCGCTCCTGCTCAGCCCCGCAACCCGGGGCTCGCTGTGGATGCCCAATGGAGACCCTGGAGAGGTGGCCAGGCGGGAGCCCCGGCCCTCGGGAGAGTTGTAGTTTCCAAGGACCGAGTAATGGATTTTGTTGCTCTTTTCAACTCAGCACCCCTCTGCGGACCTTTTGCCTGGAAAAGAACTCTTTTGCTGCATGAATTTGGCCATTTGCCGCCCCCGTTTCCACGGGCCTTCTACCGGAGCTTGGGACTTCTAGTTTCCTTTTTTCTTTTCACAATAAAGTTCGATATTTGAATAAAAGTGAAGATGTGGGGTGGGAATGGGATTCTTTCTTGTATGATCTTTGCCTAAAACAGTACTGTATGGAATATGAATCGCTTTCCGCCTTTCCATTTGTTTCTTGCCCCCCCCAAAAGTGACCCAAAAGTGGCTGCAAGGCTCAAGGAAAATTCCTGTCTCCCTCGAAAACCGAAATTGTTGATTGGTTCCTCTACACAATACAATGGTCAATAGTCCCTATCTCGCCCTCTGAGCCGTCTGGTGAGATAAGGAAGTTCCTGAGGATTTCGGAAGAGAAATTAATTAAAATTACACAAGGCAGCGTTGATTCCTTGAAGTCCGCCGCCAATCTTGTTGTCTCTTCCCCCTAAAAACTCATCATGTACAGGAAGACCTTTAATTACCACCATCACACCTTGCCAGCCAAAAACAATACCTCATATTTCCGCCGGCCAGCTATCTATAATCCCATCATTTCCCCATTGTTTTGCGATCGTCCCGCCTTCTCTCTCCTGATTCGTCTGTCCTGAAAAGCGAGTGGAGAGCGCTCATTGGCCCCCTGGAGGCGGAGAAGTATGCTGATTGGTTCTAAGCGGGGGCAGGCGGCCCAGCCTCCTCCCAGCTGTTCCAGCCTCAGCCAATCAGCAAGAAGCCGGCCGGCAAAGGGCGGGCGGGAATTTTGAAATGTTTTCCTTTGTATTTTTCCTATAAATACGCTTGTATTCTTTATGCTAGCATGCTTGTAGTGGAACTATCCCTACATTTGCATCAGATTGCAGCTGCATCGTCAATAAACTGCCTCGTTGCTGGACTTCTTCCGCTTTGATGAGAGTTATTGATTTTAATTATTTTATTGCTGAAATTGGCTCCCGCTGGCTCTCACCAAGGTTTCCAGGACCCTTTTGGCGCGGTTCTCAGGGATCTCCCTTTGGGAAGACCCCTCACAAAAGAGCTCGATATCACCATCATCTTCACTCAAAATGCCTGCTTGCACTTCATGTTTGCTGGCCATCTTCATAACAGTTTAACTGTGTTGAACTGCATTATATGGCACTGTAGATGGGGCCTAAGTCGGCATTTGTATTATCCCAAACCGCAGAAGCAAGAAGCAAGGCTTAGGAAGAATTCCCCGTTTAAACTACCAGTACTACAATTTGTTTGTTTTTTAACAGCCATGAATGGCAGTCAGATACAAAAAACATGTTTTTTTATCCCTAAAAAATCAACTGTTCACCTATCCTCCAGTTCAATATTCTTATTGAGTAGGCTTAATTAAGGGGAAAAATCATTTTCCTGTAAGAAATTAGGCTATTGACAACAAGTCCTATCCTTCCAGTTTCCCCACACCTGAATCGTGCAATAAAGCATTCTAAACTAACATAAAATGAGAGTTCAATTACCTTATCGAGGGGAAAATAAGTCATGGATGCCTCATCTCCATCTATAATGGTTTGTCCCGCAAATACCACATTGACTGAGCTGGTGTACACCAATCTGGGAATGTTTCGTTGTTTGCAAACTGCGAAGGTGCAAGATATAAAATCATTTATTATGGATGAGAGCAACATGGAAGGAACTTTTTAAAAAACAAGTGTTTTTACAGCATTCATTTGGCTTTTAGACTTCACATCTCAGAAATGATCGGCCAACATGGCAAAAATAAAAAATAAACAAGTACCCTTTCCATTTTATCATGACAGTTTGACAGGGGTCGCAGTGGCACAATGTGTTAAACCATTTAACTGTTGAATCTGCTGACCTAAAGGTTGGCAGTTTGAAGCTGTGGGTCAGGGTGAGTTCCCACTGTTAGCCCTAGCTCCTGCCAACCTAACAGTTAGAAAACATGCAAATGTGAATAAATCAATAGGTACTGCTTTGGTGGGAAGGTAACAAAAGAGCCCATGCAGCCATGCCGGTAACATGACCAGGAGATATTTACGGACAACAGGCTCCTCGGCTGATGCACTCCAGGACAGGAAAAGCCCTCTGACTTTAAACACCATACCATTGGATGGGAAACAATCCCATAGAATCCAAGAATCAAAACCATGAAACAAAGGCACTTAAACATGAACTTTCCAAGCAAAGCTTCAATGAAACAAGGATGCGATCTTGACTTGATTCCAAACGATTCTTCATCTGACTACATATCCTGTACTTGGGACTTTTATCTCCTCGTTAGCTATGTCTCTAGAGCTCAGAAATTGGTTTCGCTTTAACTTAGAATTTCTTATCTTTTTCTCTCAGAGCCTGGCAGAACACCAAAGCCATTGTTTGGCTGTCCTGTTTTGACTGATCTCCTCTCATCTTATCTATTTGCTCATTATCTATTTACTCATTAATTTCTGCAGCTGAGCCAAGTGCCAAGCTTTTTTCATGTTCTCCGGGCTGATATGGGCGGGATATGGGCGGGATAGAAATGATGATGTAAATAAATAACTCTCTGGTAACAATTCAGAAAGCACACTATCATCCCCACACCCCTTAAGGACATTCTCATGGGAAACTACACTTTGAACAGGGATCTCCTAGTCATTCTCTCCATCAATATCAATGACTAAGCCATTGCCATCTTGAAACTCATCTTGAAACTCATTGACATAATTCCCCACGTCCAAACCACCTTGATCCTGAAACACAATCACAGGTTGAGCTCCAACATCGCCTTGGAAATGGAACAAGAGCACCTCCCCATGGCCAGAGTTGAGCACTGCCTTGAGTAGGCTGCTAGGAATTGTGGGAGTTGAAGTCCAAAACACCTGGAGGGCTGAAGTTTGGGAATGACTATTCAAAACTACAAAGAACATCAATGCTGCCTTCTATTCTGCAAAAGCTACCACCAGCCCATGCACACCCCAAGGAAATCAAAGGCACGCACCTTCAAGAACGACTTCAGTTCCCCCAATGTTGATGGACTGAATTTCTTTCTTACGCAACTAAGAAAAGTGGAGAGAGACTTAAGTGTCACAGCAGCTGCTGTAGAAAAAACAAGATAACTACTTTATTCCATCTTTGCTAAAAATGATTCTGCAGACCTCTTAAGCTGGAAGACAACTGGCCAGGTGCCTGCAGAAGTTCATTTTTGCTCTTTTGGGGTTATGAAAAGAAAGAGAGAAGCCTGCCTCTCTGTTCTGCTTTGATCAGACCTCACCTAGACACCACAATTCAAGAAATATTTTGAACAGCTGGAGCATGTCCAGAGGTGGGTGACTAAAATGATCAAAGGTTTGGAAAGCATGAATTACTATGAAGAGTGGCTTAAAGAGCAGTATGTTTAGCCCGCAAAAGAGAAGACACAAGAGCCATGTTTAAATGTTTGAAAGGATATCATAAGGGAGCAGGCTTGTTTTCTTCTGCCCTGGAGACATGGGCCCCTTCCATACAGCTGAACTAGATTATATGGCAGTGTAGACCCAGATAATCTAGTTCAAAGCAGATATTGTGGATTATCTACCTTTATATTCTGGGTTATATGGCTGTGTGGAAGGGCCCTAGCACTCAATGGAGTCATTGGTTCAAATGTTAGGAAGGAGTTCCTGACCATAAGAAGAGCCGTCCAACAGTGGAACTCTCTGCTTCAGAATTTTAAAGAGGCTCCTTCTCTCGAGGCTTTTAAACAGAGGTTGGATGGCCATCTGTTGGAGGAGATTTGATTGTGATTTCCTGCATGGGCAGAGGGTTGGACTGGGTGGTCCTTGGGATCTCTTCCAACTGTATGATTCTATGGCCAATTAATGGAGTTCAAATTAGAGTGACCAGAGGACAAAGTCACACGATAGTGGGCAAAAGGAAGCCCTTCATGCACAACTCTGTGATTCTATGATCCTTGGACATAGCACAAGGGAAGATGGTCCTTGGTTTCAGGTCTTGGTCATTCCCAGTTAAGTAGATCAAGCCTGCCAATTTGTTGTTACTGATGCTAAAAAACCAAAATTAAAAATTATTGCCAATCTATTCCAAATCACTCAGAAATCCACCAATAGATCAGGCATGGGAAAAATGTTGGCCTTCCGAGTGCTTTGGACTTCAACTCCCACAATTCATAACAGCCTCAGGGCCCTTCCTTTTCCCCCTCAGCTGCTTAAGCATTAAGAGTTGAAGTCCAAAACACAGGGAAGCTCGAAGTTTTCCCATGCCTGCAAAAGATTAATATTGATCTTCTTGTCAGAAATTAGCTGGGTATTGTTGATTACAAAAGTGTGAGTCAAGCACTGAAATAATTAGTAGGCCGAAGCCTGTTAGAGTCAGTGAGCCAAAGCTAGTGTTGTCCTGAGGAGTGTGAGGTAAACCTCTGTGTGAGAGAAGCCTTGTGTGAGAAAGCTCCAGTGTGAAGGCTGCTGCGTGTAAAGCTACTATGTATTTGTTTATTTGTAATGGGTTGTTGTAGGTTTTTTCGGGCTATGTGGCCATGTTCTAGAGGCATTTTCTCCTGACGTTTCGCCTGCATCTATGGCAAGCATCCTCAGAGGTAGTGAGGTCTGTTGGAACTAGGAAAAAGGGTTTATATATCTGTGGAATGACCAGGGTGGAGCAAAGGACTCCTGTCTGCTGGAGCTAGGTGTGAATGTTTCAACTGATTTGTTTATTTGTAATGTTTGGCTACCAAAAACCTCCTAAAGAAAATATAACATTGCCCCGTGTTTTTGTTCTTTTTATCACTTTGAGCTACTGGTGCTGGGTCACGCTGCTGCTAATAAGTTACTCTGCTGTACATTTATGAGGAGGGTCTTTGTTAATAACTCAACCAACATTTCTCCCATCTCAGGCTGGATCTACACTGCCATACAAAATCCAGATTATCTGCTTTGAACTGGATTATATGGCAGTGTGGACTCATACAATCCAGTTCAAAGCAGACAATATGGATGATCTGCTTTGATAATCTGGATGATATGGCAGTGTAGATCCAGCCTCATTCCCAAAGAATCCATACTGTTGGTCTCAAATGGTCAATCCAATGCAAAAACTAAAGGATAAAGAAGAAAAGGCACACTTACTTGTTCTGATCCGGACATTCCATACGCAGCTGAATGAATGACACAGTCTGCCCCTTCACACGCAGCATAGAAGTCCTTGAAGACTCGCACATCAGCCTACAACATAGCCAAGATTTGGTTGAGTGGCAATTTGGGGTAGCTATTTAACATGTCTCTAATGAAGTTGTTACACACTTCTGCCTCAGTTAATGCTGCATACAGTACAATATATTGGAAGGCTTAGGTCCAGATATACAGTATCTGTGATTGCAGATGTGACAGAAGATGAAAACGAGAAATCCACAAAAGAAGCACGAGGGTGTCCCTATAGTTGGTGGCCATAGCCTTAGAAAATGAGGCATTCACTTTGAAGGCAGCATTGGGGATGAGTGGAAACCTCAGCTCGGATGCGAATCGAGGCAGTTTACAGTTGGCAATCAATGCCCCACAAAATAAAATAATATAAAACATATAAAAACAATAAAACAATTAAAACCATAAAGCACAAGTCCTCAGGTGTCTTGTTCCATTTTCCACTATTATGAGCCTGTTATCCACAGACCCTCCTGGTCGTGTTTTGCCGGCATGGCTCCAGGGGTGCCTTTTACCTTCCCACCGAGCCAGTAACTACTGAACAACTCACATTACATGTTTTCAAACAGCTAGATTGGCAGGAGCTAGGGCCGACAACCAGAGCTCATCCCAACCTTCCAGTCAGCAAGTTTTTCTGCAGCTAGCAGTCCATATTATCAAACTTTCTTAAGAATGGTTTTAAACAGCTCCAACAGATGTAGTGATACTTAAAAAATGCAAAAAGTATATTTACATAATTATTTCTTTTGAAAAATATGGCAAAAAAAAAAGTAAATACCTGTACAACTTGTACTCCTTTTGGAATTTCCCACTGACACGGCTTTACGTCATAGAGAATGACTTCCGTTCCTGATTTGGCAAGGGCCCGGCCGAGAGTGAAGCCGAAACACCCAGACCCTCCAGTGACCACCGTCCTGTCGCTGACTCTCTTTAGGGCTGGCTTACTGCTGCCTGGTTTTTGCTCACAGGGTTTGGGGCACGGCTTACAGGCAGTTTGGGGTTTCCGGTCCTTGTGGGGCGGTTTTTCCATTGTGGGCTGAGGCATTCCGTGATTGACCAGGTTGTCTGTTACACAGCTCCATACAGGGTAGCAATCGCTCACCTTCTCATAACCTGTTTAGAGAGTATAAGGATCAGTTATGCTGCAGTTGCACAAGTTCTCAGTTATTTGGTCAATGCAGGTGCTGGTATAAGTCAGCATTTCCCCCTTCATGTTGCATGTCTTAGTGATGCCTGTCTTAAGACAGGCATGGGCAAAGTTTGGCCCTTCCTCCAGGTGTTTTGGACTTCAACTCCCACAATTCCTGACCTCAGCCCCCCCCCCTTCCTTTCCTCCTCAGCCGTTTAAGTGGCTGAGGGGGGAAAGGAAGGGGCCTGAGGTCAGAAATTGTGGGAGTTGAAGTCCAAAACACCTGGAGGAAGGGCCAAACTTTGCCCATGCCTGTCTTAAAAGATGTGTCACCAACATGAAATGTTCAGAAAGCTTTGATCTTGAGTAAAATGGTAAACTAAGTTATGATGCATTTAAATACAACTGTTGAAAAAGAAGCCACAACACAGGGATCTCTACTCCACCTCTCAATTGCTTTAGAATACTTCTATTCAAAAGGAGGCATTGTCTTTCTCGCAGTTGGAGCACTTGCACAGAATTCTACCTCCACTGTTTGTGCAACTAAATCAAGCCTGGGAAAACTTGGGTCCATGAGAGCGAAAAGAAAAAGACATGATGCTATTAGGAATTGTGGGTGCTGAAGTCCAAAACACCTGGAGGGAGGGCCATGTTTGTCCATGCCTGGTCTACACCGTTGTCCGAATGTCCCAACTGCTTTATGGTTGTTACAAACCGAATCTGATCCATACCAAAATAATAGTAATAATAATAAATTTTATTTTGTTACTTCATGGATTTTGTTGTGATGGATTTTTTCTGTTATTTTGTGTTTAACTTTATATTATTTTTAGGCTTGGCCTCGTGTTAGCCGCCCCGAGTCCCCTTTGGGGAGATGGTGGTAGGGTATAAATAAAGATTATTATTATTGGCACAAAAGCACAGTATGTCACAGTAAACGAGATCTATATGCTGGATTTCGTATCACAAAATCACAAGTCAAACACTTCCCAAGCATCTAGGATGCCAGAAAACCTCACAATTATTATTATTAGTAGTATTAGTATTATTAGTATTATTATATCCTGCCTTTATTTGTATCTCCCAGGGGGACTCGGGGTGGCTCACAAAGCACTCAAGGTGTAACATGCAAAATACAACAAGTGGAAAACAAAACATATGAGTAGACCATAAACAATCAACACAACATCATAAATTCACAGTACCCCCTGGTAAAAACAATAGAATACAGCAGTTGCCAGAGATAAAACAGCAGTATTTGATCTCAGAAGTATAAAGAGCTAATAAAGAATCTAAAGGTCCTCATATAGATTATTAGAGAGTCTAAATCAAGGGTCCCCAAACTAAGGCCTGGGGGCTGGATATGGCCCTCCAAGATCATTTACCCAGTCCTTGCTCAGGATGAATCTAAGTCTGAAATGACTTGAAAGCACAACAACAACAACAACAACAACCCTATTTCATCAGCCAAAAGCAGGCCCACACTCCCCATTGAAATACTAATAAGTTTATATTTGTTAAAATTGTTCTTAATTTTAATTATGGTATTGTTTTTAAGTGGTTTTTTAATGCACTACAAATAAGATATTATGCGCAGTGTGCATAGGAATTTATTCATGTTTTTTTCCAAATTATAATCTGGCCTTCCAACAGTTTGAGGGGCTGTGACCTGGCCCTCTGTTTAAAAAGTTTGAGGACCCCTGGTCTAAACATTTATTTATGACGTTTATATGCCACCCTTGTCACCCCGAAGGGGACCCAGAGCAACTTACAAGTTATATATACATACAATATATTATATTATTGTATATTAGCATAGTACAATATTAGTATTATATATTACTATATTGTACTATACCACTATACTGTAATATTATTAGTAATAGTACATGTAATATGAAATATATAATTACTGTATTATTTTTTTACAGTATTTATATACCACCTTTCTCACCCCTGGGGAGACTCAAATAATAATAATAATAATAATAATAATAATAATAATAATATTACTATTATATTGTATTACATTATAATATTATTATCAATACTATATGTGTATACAATGTATTATAATATTAGCACAGCACAATATTAATATTATATATTACTATATTGTTGCTGGGGGAAGGGACTCCAACTGATGACCCAGGAGACATGGTGGAACTCTGTCTTCCTGGCTCCCCTCCTTCAAACATGGTCAAAGGCTTGTCGGAAAAGCCAGGTCTTTAATTGTATGCGGAAGGTTTGGAGGGTAGGGGGCCAGCCCGATCCAAAGTGCTTCTGCATTCAAAAGCAGGAAGGCCTGTAGGCATCTTTCTTAGGCCCCTTCTACACTGCCATATAATCCAGATTATCAAAGCAGATAATTCTCTTTATCTGCTTTCAACTGGATTATATGAGTCCATACTGCCATATAATATAGTTCAAAGCAGATAATCTGGGACTCTTCCACACAGTCCTATATCTCAGAATATCAAGGCGGAAAATCCCACATTATCTGAGTGTGGACTCAAGATAACTCAGTTCAAAGCAAATATTGTGGGATTTTCTGCCTTGATATTCTGGGATATAGGGCTGTGTGGAAGGGCCCCTGGATGGGGCTTTAGATTTCCGTTTCTGGGATTTAATATGCAGAGTGTTTTATTTATGCACTGGGCCCCAGTTTGGCTGAAATATTGCAAAAAATGGAGTACAGGCAGTCCCCGAGTTACAAACACCCGATTTACATATGACTCCTAGTTACGAGCAAGGGGGAGACAATGAAATGAGAGAAATCTACTGTTTGGAAGAGAAATCCACTCCTGAAAAAGTTACTATCATGGGGAAAAGTGTCTCCACTGAAGCTTTATTAGAAATCCTTGTTTCCACAAGCCAAATTTTTTCAAAATCCAATTCTCACAGTGAAAGTAGGCAGCAAAACAAACACCACAAAGGTGTTAACCTTATTCTGTCCAAAGCTAATAAGATAGTACATTGTATGTATTAGCTTTGGATGGATGGATAGATAGATAGATAGCACACACCACACATACATATAAACTTTGGATATATATCTGTAACTATCTATCTATCTAGTGTGTGTGGGTGTATAGAATCATAGAGTTGGAAGAGACCTCATAGGCCATCCAGTTCAACCCCCTGCCAAGAAGCAGGAAAATTGCATTCAAAGCACCCCCGACAGATGGCCATCCAGCCTCTACTTAAAAGCCCCTAAAGAAGGATCCTCTACCACACTTCAGGGCAGAGAGTTCCAATGCTGAACAGCTCTCACAGTAAGGAGGTTCTACCTAAAGTTTAAATGGAATCTCCTTTCTTGTAGTTTGAAGCCATTATTCCACATCCTAGTCTCCAGGACAGCAGAAAATAAGCTTGCTCCCACATCCCTATGACTTCCTCTCACATATTTATACATATATATAAGCCTTGGATATATACCTATATTTACATCTATCTATCTAGCTATCTAGATATAGATATATATATAGAGAGAGGGGGGGGCAGGCTTTTGGATATATACCTATATCTATTTATCTAGATAGTGTGCTTGTGTGTGTGTGTGTGTGTATATATATAAGCTTTAGATATCTGTCTATCTCATGTGTATATAGATAGAAAGATAGATAATGTTAGCTCTGGATATACAGTATACCTATATCTAGTGTGTATGTGTATGTATGTATGTGTATATATATATATATAAAAGCTTTAGTTATCTGTCTATCTAATGTGTATATAGATAGATAGATAGACAGACCGATAATCTTAGCTTTGGATATACAGTATACCTATAACTCTATCTATCTAGTATGTGTGTGTGGATATATATACATATATATATATATATATATATATATATATATATATAAGCTTTGGGTATATACCTATTTCTATATATGTATCTAGGTCAGTGATGGGAAACCTTTGGAGCTTGGTGTGTCAAAATTTGCCAAAAACCTGAGCATAACTTGGGTGGGGTGTCAACTTTGAGGGGGAAAAACCCATAATTTTGCAATATTTATAGTTTAAATAAGAAAAATGAATATTCCATGCTGAGTTATGGAATGAACAATGCTCAAACGTGCAGATGTTAAATTTGTAGAGCCTTTTTACAAATTTAACGTTGGAATTAGATTGGCTCTTATAAGGTGTAATTGTATGCGGCCGCATGTGGCCGCGTGTCATCAAAAATAGCCATGCGTGTCAGTGCTGACACGCATGTCATAGCTTCACCATCAAGGATCTAGGTAGTATATATATCACATTAGCTTTGGATATATATCTATATCTAGATATCTCTCTTTCTAGCTAGTCTATATATCTGTGTGTGTGTGTGTGTATGTATGAATGAGATGGCTATAAATCTATATCTATCTATCTAGAATATTATTACTTATTTATTTCCTATATTTATACCCTGCCCTTCTGGAATAGATATAGATAGCTATAGATACATAGATATCTGGCTGGAATTAGACTTCAAAAACGTCCCTGTTCCATACAAATTCAATTTAAGGGCCTGTAGTGTCAAGGTATGCCTTCTCTGGTGCCATATAATCCAGATTATCATCAAAGCAGATAATCTAGATCAGGCCAGGGCCAATAGAGCCTTAGACTGTTAGGATCTGTGGGAGTTGGAGTCCAAAACACCTGGAAGGAGGGCCCAGGTTATACTCTGAACTGGGCTATATGGGCCTACGCTACCACAGAATCCAGTTGGAAGCAGACTTGATCTGGATTAGATATGGCAGTGTGGAAGAAGTCTTGGGGGAGGCCTCAGAAGATGCTCCAAAAGGAAGCGGAGAAGTGCTGCCAGGGAGAGCGGGTGCCTCTCTTTGGACGAGGGGAGAGGGGAGAGGAGGCAGGCCTGCGGGCGAAGAGTATCCCCTTCCCAGCGTGTTTACCCTGCCTGGCTTCCCCGGAGGGCCCCCTCGCAGCCGGGACCCACTCCCCAGTCCGGCTGGGTCCGCGCCGGGGGCCAGCCAGCGGGAGGCCGCCCTCCTCCTCCCTCTCTCGGGCGTTCCACGGGCCGTTGGCCGCTCTCCTTCCCTCCCTCTCTCTTGGCCGCAACGCCCACCACGCGCGCCTTCATCCAGCCAGGGGAAGGCTTGGGCCTGCCCCCCAGGGCAGGGGTTTGGGACTCCAACTCCCACCATTCCTCACAGACTCAGGCCCTTTACTTTCCACCCTCAGGCATTTAAGCTATTATAGAGCATGCCTGGGCCAACTTGGGCCCTCCAGGAGTTTTGGACTCCAACTCCCACCATTCCCCACAGACTCAGGCCCCTTCCTTTCCCCCCTCAGCCACTTAAGCTACTATAGAGCAGGCCTGGGCCAACTTGGGCCTTCCAGGGGTTTTGGACTCCAACTCCCACCATTCCTCACAGACTCAGGCCCTTTACTTTCCACCCTCAGGCATTTAAGCTATTATACAGCAGGCCTGGGCCAACTTGGGCCCTCCAGGGGTTTTGGACTCCGCTCGTTGGACTAGTTGGAGCTTCCGGGCAGTCTTCAGAGGCAACCCCACGTAGAGAGCGTTGCAGTAATCTAAACGGGATGTAACCAGAGCCAGATTACTAACAGGAGCGGGGTACAGGGAGCATACTACTCCTCTGTTGCACCAACTCCACTGGCTGCCAATTAGCTTCCAAGCACAATTCAAAGTGGTTTTGACCTATAAAGCCCTAAACGACTCCGGCCCAGTTTACCTGTCCGAACAGATTCTCCCCTATGAACCATCAAGGTTGTTAAGATCTTCTGGAGGGGCCCTGCTCTGTCCCACCATCGCAAGCGCGCCTGGTGGGGACAAGGGACAGGGCCTTCTCGGTGGTGGCCCCTCGGCTCTGGAACTCCCTCCCACTGGAGATTAGAACTGTCCCTTCTCTCCTGACTTTTAGAAAACAGGTGAAAACCTGGCTCTGGAAACTGGCATTTGACGAGTGAGTCAATAACTCGTGGCTATATGGATGGATGGTGATGAACAACGATTTTATTGTGACGACTTGGCCATTGTAATTATATGATTGTATTTTTGGTATTTTAATGTGTTAGTGTATTATGGAATGTGATGTTTTTAAACAATTGCTTGTTTTATTGTTGGAAACCGGCCTGAGTCCCTCCACAGAGGTGAGAAGACCGGTATACAAAAGTTCTAAATAAATAAATAATAATAAAATTCTTTGGAGGCTTTTAAATAGAGGCTGGATGGCCATCTGTCAGGGGTGCTTTGCAATTATCCTGCTTCTTGGCAGGGAGTTGGATTGGATGGCCCACAAGGTCTCTTCCAACTCTATGATTCTATGATTCTAGGTGTTAGCTAGCCCTGATTGTTTCATGTCTGGAATTCCCCTGTTTTCAGAGTGTTCTTTATTTAGTGTCCTGATTTTAGAGTTTTTAAATACTGGTAGCCAGATTTTGTTCATTTTCGTGGTTTCTTTCTTTCTGTCCACATGCTTGTGTATTTCAATGGCTTCTCTGTGTAGTCTGACATGATGGTTGTTAGAGTGGTCCAGGAAGGGGCCTGAGGCTGTGAGGAATGGTAGGAGTTGGAGCCCAAAACACCTGGAGAGCCCAAGTTGGCCCAGGCCTGATTTAGTTGCACCCTGTGTGTTCACTGAAAATAAGCAGTTGAGGGGGAAAAGATAGGGGCCTGAGACTGTGAGGAATGGTGGGAGTTGGAGTCCAAAACACCTGGAGGGCCCAAGTTGCCCATACCTGCTCTATAGTTTGCTTCATATATGTAGCTTAAGCAGCTGAGAGGGAAAAGGAAGGGGCCTGAGACTGTGAGGAATGGTGGGAGTTGGAGTCCAAAACACCTGGAGGGCCCAAGTTGCCCATACCTGCTCTATAGTTTGCTTCATATATGTAGCTTAAGCAGCTGAGAGGGAAAAGGAAGGGGCCTGAGACTGTGAGGAATGGTGGGAGTTGGAGTCCAAAACACCTGGAGGGCCCAAGTTGGCCCATACCTGCTCTAATACATACTGAACAAGATGAGAAACTGATGCTAGATAAGATGCCAATCTGCTTCCCAAATAAACAAAATATATCCATCAAGATAAATCTAGGCTGAACTGACGGAGATGTAGTTTTAAAAGGGCATTTTCATGGATGCTTTCAATAGGAAAAGGTTCAACTCTATTACTCCTTTCCACTTACTACTAAGGAGGCTGTTCAGGTTCTGAGGGCAAACAAATTGAAACTGAATCCAGACAAGACAGAGGTCCTCCTGGTCAGTGGTAAGACCGAACAGGGCATAGGGTTACCACCTGTGTTGGATGGGGTCCTATTCCCTCTGAAGACACAGGTTCGCAGCTTGGGTGTTCTTCTGGACTCATCCCTGAGCCTGGAATCCCAGGTTTCGGCAGTGACCAGGGAAGTATTCACACAATTAAAACTTGTGCACCAGTTGCACCTGTATCTTGGGCAGTCAGACTTGGTCATGGTAGTCCATGCTCTGGTTACATCCCGTATAGACTGCACAATGGAGGACCTTCTCACAGCGACACCTGAGGCACTCCAAGTGGCCAGCTACTGGTCAAAGGACATTTAATAGAATGCCAAGTTTTAAACTTTATTTGTGGTTTTTCTATAATTTATCACTGTGTTCTCAATTCGCTTCTGGTATGAGATATAAGTAAATCCAGAAGAACACGATGTAGAGTGACATTTTGTGCTTTTCAAATTCAGTTCCCAAAAAACAACCACAATATTGAAAAAACATATTTTATTTATTTATTTATTTATTTATTTATTTATTTATTTGGTACACTTGTATACCGCTAATTTCTCAGCCTGGGTCGGCAACTCAACTGCGGTTTACAACAATTAAAACAGTCTCCAATTTAAAAACATATACATATACAATAACAAATTATTGGGCCACCAATAATAATCCCATATATCTCAAGTTGAAATCACAGTCCAGAATTCGTTGTCCATATTTCCTGTCCATAGTCACCGGAATTCGATTGCCACAGATTAGCCGAATGCTTGTATTTAGGCAAAACACATGGGACAGCGGTCTCTCTGAACCTGGTACCAAAAGATGCTGGATCATTTCCAGTGTTGGAATTTTAAATCTATATAAATAAAAATGTAATGTTAATTTGTCAGATTAACGTAACTCAAAAACCACTGGATGAATTGATGCCAAATTTGGACACAATATACCTATCAGGCCAACAAGTGACCATCACTCATCAAAACACTGAAAAACTCAGTGGAAGAGACTTAAAAAGCCAAAAAAAAACCAAACCCATTACAATGCATGCGCAAAACCACATATATATACGTAAACACACAAATATATACACACACATAACACATATATACAGACTGGGCCACAGCAACACGTAGCAGGGGATGGCTAGTCACTCATAAAAACACTGAAAAACACAGTGGAAGCCACTTAAAAAGCAAAATAAAAATAAAAAAATAAAAATGCATTACAACACATGCACAAAACCACATATACACATACACACACACAAAAAACACATATACACAGACTGGGCCACAGCAACGCGTGGTAGGGGATCGCTAGTATTAAATAAATACATTCATACAGTACAAATCAGTCAGCTATTTATTGTTCATAAATACAATGTCGATACAAATAATTGCAACTGAAATAACTCCTCAAAACAGTATAATGTAACTGTAATTGGTCACTAATAAAGGAGGAATCCAGCCCCTTGCCAAGTCTTCACAAATGAAGAATTGGAAAGAAAGAAAACCCCAAAAAACAAAAGACCAACACAACAAAAAGACATATGGAAACAATACTTCAAATAGTTGGAAAAGAAAAAGATGAATATAAAAATATGCCAAATATAAGAAATATCATGAAGGATTATTCATATTGGTGTCTGTGTCTTGTTTTCAGGTTAATGATCCACTGTGTCAGCTAGTGTAAACTTCTTTGGATAGTAATCCAGTTCTTTACAAGCCTTGCCTGTGGGTAGCAATAATATTTATCACCTATAGAAGGAAAAACAAAATAAATAACCAGTGACATAACAGGATAGACAGCAAACGTGATTTTAGTTTGGAGTCTCAATAAAAGTTCTGTGCTTTCCTTGCTTTGAAACAAGCTTGGATGATGTGTGCTGCCATTCCATGTCCCTTGCCACTTAAAATAAGCACTTCATGCATCTCTTTGGAGACTCACACATTTATGCTTCATCAGCAATTCTCTAAAAAGCCTGAAAATATTGGGAACCATGCTTTAAGATGCAAAATAGAATATAATACAATAAAATATCTTTACTGCAATTGTGCAACGATATTAAATGCTTTCCCCAGCACACATCATTTAGCTTCATAAGATATTAAAAGCACATCTACATACATACCGATCTATCTGTATTAGAAGGACTGGCTCTTTTGGTTTAAATTCCTTTTTTCTAACAGTAACCTGGGGAGAAAAATGTATTAAATAAGCAGCTGAGAGGGAAAAGGAAGGGGCCTGAGGCTGTTAGGAATTGTGGGAGTTGAAGTCCAACACACCTGGAGGGCCAAACTTTGCCCATGCCTAATCAAAAGCAATGAATACAATTTTCTTGTTATCAATATTGAAGCAAAAAGAACAATACTGAAAAACTCTCACCTAAAGGACCTTGCTTGTGCTAGATAGCTTCTAGCTTTCGCTACTTCTTCAGCAAGTTTCTTTAAGTCATCTCCTTCAAACAAAGGGAAAACTGGATCCTGACAAAACAAGACAAGGCATTCATTTGGATCTGAAGCAATTTTCTGCTTTGTCAACATGATAACTGGATTTGACTCCAGCAAATCCCAAAGTAGTTACCCACTGTAGCCATAGCCATTGGATGTTCCAGATGATGCCACTTGGCAGCAAACTCCAGGGCACAGTGGGAATATTTCTTCCAAGCTAAGGCAACACATGGGGGATGGCCCAGTGTAGGATGTGAGTCAGAGATGGAGACAGAGAAAAGAAAGAAAAGGATCATAGAATTGGAAGAGACCTCATGGGCCATCCAGTCCAACCTCTTGCCAAGAAGCAGGAAAATTGCATTCAAAGCACCCCCGACAGATGGCCATCCAGCCTCTGTTTAAAAGCCCCCACTACACTCTGTGGCAGAGAGTTCCACTGCTGAACAGCTCTCACAGTTAGGATGAGAGATTAGAGATTCTGCGTCTGGGGAGAACAAATAGTGGAAGACATTGAACATTTCCTAATTGACTGTCCAGCATACACCGAACTGCGAGACAGATATTTACATCCAATATTATCCAACTGCAGGTCCCCCAACAGAAATGATATTCTGACATCCCTCTTGCAAGGGCAGGAAAGATCCAACATAATCAGAGTAAGCCTTTTTATTCTGAAAGCTATTAAGAAAAGAGCAGATTTCCTGAAAGAAGAACCAGGAAAATAAGATTCTGTTGCCTTGTTGCCTTGTTTTTTACTTGTGTTTTATTTTGAAATGGTCATATGACTGATCAAATAAATAAATATTATTATTATTATTATTCTTATTATTCTTATTATTATTATTATTATTGGAAGAAACCAAACCCGTCTGATTTTGGAAGTTAAACAGGGTCAACTCTAGTTACTGCTTGGATGGGTGACCATAAATTAATATAAGGGGATGTAGGCCATATTTCAGAAAATATTGCAGAATCACCTCAAAATATTCATTGCCTAAGAAAATCCCATGGAATTAATGGGGTCGCTGTAAGACATCGCTAGGAAAGACTAGCTTGACATTTCAGAGGTCAAGGTGAGAGATGACAAATAGGATGCAATGCAAGAAAGTGTTCCAAATGCACATACATCTTCATCTTTGAAGCCTTCTGACAGCAAGCGGTGCGCTGCCAGCTGTCCATCCACATCTCCATGGCACCGATGGTAGCGCCCACCTGTCTGGAAGGCCAGTTTCTTGAGGAAGTTATTGGCTCCTCTGTTGAAGGAGGAAAAAACAAGTGCTTTGAGATGGTCTCCAAATACACTATATATCATGCATCACCACATCTCTAAGGAGGCCACTACACTGTGTGGTTGTCAACCTGTGGGTCCCCAGGTGTTTTGGCCTACAACTCCCAGAAATCCCGGCCAGTTAACCGGCTGTTAGGATTTCTGGGAGTTGAGGGCCAAAACATCTGGGACCCACAGGTTGAGAACCACTGGTGTATACGAATGGATTTGCTTCTATTCACTTGCAGGAGAAAGGAAAGGGACCCATAGTTAGGTGGACTTTGTATAGTGTATCATTATAAATGTTAATTAATTTATATTGTTTGTAATATCAATATTTAATGTATTAATATTAAAATCAATATATTAATATTAATTAAGCAGTTTATTGCGGCAGCACAATGGGTTAAACCCTTATGCTGTAGGATTGCTGACCAAAAGGTCGGCAGTTTGAATCCAAGGAGCAGTGTGAGCTCCTGTCTGTCAGCTCCAGCTTCTCATGCAGGGACATAAGAGAAGCCTCCCACAGGATAGTAAAACATCTGGGCAATGTCCTTGCAGATGGCCAATTCTCTCACCTACAAGCGACCTGCAGTTTCTCAAGTCGCTCCTGACATGAATATATATATATATGTGTGTGTGTTAATTTATTATTTCTTTTTCAACCTGTAAAGTGAAACTTGCAGTTTTTCAAGTTGCTCCTGATACACACACAAAAGTTACAATTTAAATTGAAAGAAATTAATGGCCTTTGTAAAAAGGCCCTTGAAATTTTTTTTTAAAAAATGATACTTTGAAAATTTAATTTTTTAAAAAAAAATATTCATTACATTTGGCCCGGCTTTAGTTTTTAAATGTGTCATAGTGTTACTGTCTAATGCTTATTGTTATTGTTTTGATGTTTATTGCTTTGCTTTATGAGTTTATTTATTGTTGTATTTGTTATGCTGTTGTTTTATTGATGTGTTGGGCCTTGGCCTCTTGTAAGCCGCACCGAGTCCTTCGGGAGATGTTAGCGGGGTATAAATAAAGTTAATAAATAAATAAATAAATAAAAAATTGAAAAACTGAAATCACCTTTTCCACCAAGGCAACACATACCTGCCTGTACAATTAAATGAAATAGTGTGGATTGGAATGGCCTGCTTCTTCCTAAGCATTTCTATTTCTTTGAGAACCAAATTGCAGCTGGTATCTGGTTTTCCATCTGTCAGAAGGTACAAAGCCTCAACATCTTGAAGAAGGAAAGCCCTCTGGAAAGGTAAAAGGTCGTAACTTGAACAAAGCCCATTTTATCAAGCAGTTGAGAAACGTATTTCATTTCAGAGGAACTGGATGGAAAATGATCTTGTTACGAACAGACAGATACAATGGTTAAACATGGAAGGTTTAACCAAGTTCCATATAATGAACGTTTCTGTATCTGTGGGGCGACAGAGGTAGAGGATATTACACATGTACTGTTTAATTGTATTTTGTACAACAAAGAGAGAAATCAATACCTCGGACCATTCATCATACAGAAGACTCACTGGGATCCCCATATCAAAACTACATTCTTAATGGCTGGCCAGAATGCTAAGATAACACACCAAACAGCCCTTTTCCTTCATAAAGCAACGCAGCTGAGAACTGCATATCTGGAGGAGATTGGAGTAAACTGTAGGGGTGACACAGATATCTGAAGTGGCTTGGGATTTTTTAATAGCTGGTCTATTTTAACTTTCGTTTTAACCTTCCTTTTTAATTTTTGTGGTATGAAATTTTACCTTGGCATTTTAATGATGATATTTTTAATTATCTTTTAACTTAATCAAGTTTGAATATATGTTAGTTCACTATTATGGGAGTCTTAGGATAGTGATTATTGTCTATTTGTGCACGTTTCTGTTTTTGTTTTTAATGTTGATACGGTCAATGGACTAATCAATAAACTTTGCTTGCTTGCAGTAGTCCAGCATGATCTTGTTACTCTTAACTTTTCAGATTTATATTTTGTCCCTCTTTGGATGGTGGCAAACACACCAGATCGATGTCATTAACATATAAATGGCTTGTAGTTCTGTGCATTATTGTCAGACATATTAACAATTAACTAGGTATTTTTAATTACAGAAATGTGAGGCAAGCCCTGAAAGGGTTAAATGGATGCAATGACTCCACAAAAGCTGAAATTCAATATAAGCAGTTGTGCCCGTAGCTTAGTAGACTCAGTCTGTGACAGGTCTCTGTGGGGGAAGGGGCTCAGTGTGTTGGTAGGCCTCAGTATGAGAAGGCCTCAGTGTTAGTTCACCTCAGGAGGAGAAAGGCCTCAATCTGAGAGAGCCCTCAGTGTGAGAGGCCTCAATATGAGAAGACTCCAGTATTAGCAGGCCACAGTATGAGTAGGCCCTCAGTGTGAGGGTGGCCTGGTGAGAGAAGCTTCGGTGAGAGAAGCCCCAGGTTGAAAAACTCATGTGAAACTCCAGTGTGAAGGCTGCTGTGTAAAAAGCTACTGTGTGAAGCTCCTGTGTAACTTTAGTGTGAGAAGAGGCTCTGTGAGAGGGAAGCTGTTTATCTGCATGAGAAAAAAGCCCAGCGTGGAAGCAAAGAAGAAAGTAGAAAGAACTTTATTTGTGTTATGGAGACCTTGTTCTTGTAAATAGTGCAACCATATTATTTTACTACAAAGAAAAGCCTCCTAAGGAAGAAATAACATTGGTCTGTGTGTTTTTGTCCTTTTTATCATTTTGGGCTACTGGTATTGGGTCATGCTGCTGCTGCTAAGTTACTCTACTGTACATTTATGAGGAGGGTCTTTTGTTAATAGGACTACTCGTCCAACAATTATGGCATATGTGGCCAAAAAAACCCTCACTGTTGCTTCTCTCCCTTAAAATATGTATTCATATGAATTTTGTCACAATATTGATCAATTAGGTAAAGAACCCCTCTACTTAAGAAACTAGCATCTATATTATATTCCTGCCAGCAACCAATTCACTTTTCCTAATATTCAGGACATGCCAGCTTTGCGACAACACAAAATGAAGAGCTCATGTTAACACTGATACATATAGAAATGCTCCAACTACATAACACACCCGCAAAGCCTTTAGGATGGAAGTATTCCCATGAGCATGAAGCATTGACACCCACTGCACAGCATCATGGCAGGCCTCATCTGTGGCCTCCTCAAGACACTCTTGCCAAACCTCAACGTCTTCTGCAAAGCTGATCAGATTGAACCTAGGAAGGAACAAGTCAAATCAGACAGGACTTTACAAGAGCCAGTTAGCATTCTGCCATATTTTGTGTATTTCTGAGATGTTTGTCACAGAGAAAGATAGGTGTTTCTATGGGAATAAGATCTCTGAGTTGTGGTGCTACCTTCATATCTGGGGTGCAGGATACCATGATCCATATTGCCAAGCAAGACCGTCGGAACATGGTGGACATTTGTTTAAAATTAAGCAAAATCTTAAATGGCCAAGAGACAGGACAGTCAAGGAACCCAATTAAATGACAACACAGATTATCTTGTATGTAGCAGAGGGGAGCAAGCACTATAAGGAGAGCCATGCTGGATCATGTTGCAAGCTCTTCTACTTCTCAATTCTGTTTCCACAGGACCTAATCAGTTGCCTATAGGAAGCCCACCATCAGCACCATCCTTACTTCATGTTGTTCTTCCTCAGCTGTTCCCAGATAAGAGAGGTGAGCTCTTTGGTGACCTCTTCCAAAGAGCTCTCCATGGAACCTGATGCATCAATCAGGAGGCAAACATTCGCTTCCAAAATGACACCAAACAACCGACGGCTTCCTATATATAAAATAATATAATATAAAATGAAATTTGAGCATTTTTTTCAAACTGTGAGTTCAGCTTATCTAGCAATTGAGTTCAGTTTATCTAAAATGTCAAGCCAGAAAAGTCACAGGATAAATGCTGAATTTTCAGGAGTTGGTTAATGTTTTGTTTGTTTGTTTTTTTGGTTGGGGCATGAGCATGCATGTGTGACAGAAAGCAGCTAGGAACTACATGGTCATTCAATACATGATCTCATTACACTTGTGATGACTGTATAATACACACCTGAGAGAAGCCACTGTAATCTTCGAACATAACGCCGTAGCACCTTTTCCATCTGCTCAATGTAGTCCTCCAAATCCTTGAGCTGAACCTGCAGGTGTTTGACGATGCCCTAGAACGTCATTTACAAAGGCTTGTTATCGAAGTCATTTTGTGATATGCAAAATGGTACAGCTGCAAGGAACTATGTCAATAAGAAAAAGCTGAAGATCGTGGGTTAATTTGCGTGTGCCTGTGAACATTCATTTGGAAAATGGGAAGCAAGGAAGAGGAATGACTAGCAAGAGCTTTTGTTTTAGAACAGGCATGGGCAAACTTTTGCCCTCCAGGTGTTTTGGACTTCAACTCCCACAATTCCTAATGGCCAGTAGGCCATTAGGAATTGTGAGAGTTGAAGTCCAAAACACCTGGAGGGCCAAAGTTTGCCCATGCCTGTTTTAGAATGACTCAAACAGAAACCCTTTGTTTTGAATGTCTGATAAAGCAATGTAGGAAAGAGCTTGTTTTATGTAAGGCCATTCCCAAGTTCAATGAAGGAATACAAATGCTGGGGGAAAGGAGACTCCCAGGACAAAAGACACTTAGGGAACATCCAAGGAAAACAGATATGTGGGACTTACATGCATTTCAACGCTGGGGAAGATGTGGCAGTACTTAGCAGACACTTGCTTGTGCAAAGACTCCACCATGTGCTTTTGATGCTTGCACTCAGGTCCAAAAACGAGACTGGGCAACTCGAGCTTCAAATTCTTTATACTGAATTTGCTCAACCACTTTTTGGAGAGAAAGGATGACAGGTTATTGAGCTAATGATCTACTTGGGATGCAGCAGGCAATGATATCCTTACATGCATTAAAAAAGTAAAGAAGTCAGCAACATATGAAAAATGTACCTCCTTGGTGGAGCATATTTCTTCTTCCTGAGGCAAAGTGACCTTGGGAACGAGCTTCGTCGTGCACTTGAGGCTTGAATATTTTTTATAAACAGCACCTAGAAAAAGCAGTGGGAAAAAGCAGTTCTACTATAGACAAGAAAGCGTTTTATGTATTAAAAAGCACACACTATAGATTGATAAGATATGAATATTGCTTTCAGGACTTCTAAGAGCATAGGTAACCCTCAGTTTCAGGCCAAGAGTCCACCTGATCTTTCATTTGGCAAGTGTTGAGTAGCAACAAGATGTTAAAGAGAAATGCTATAAGGTTTGTTCTGCATCCCCTGACACTAGTCTGCTGCCTGCAGGTGCCAAAAAAGACAGCAGTCCATTCTTACTGCCAAAATCAGAGCCCAGAATGTTAACTTTAACATTCTCCAATGCTAAAATGCCAGGCAGTCATGTTGTCCATTTTTCACACATCAACAAGGGATGCAACTAATTTATTTATATTTCTTATTTATTTACTTTATTTATGTTCCATCTTTCTCCATGTGGGGACTCAAGGCAGATAGAAACTACCTAATTTGATCAGTTGTAAAAAGCAAATCCAAAGATTAAAAAATAAAATAAAATAAATACTACGGTCTAGAGCAGGGGTCCTCAAACTAAGGCCCAGGGGCTGGATATGGCCCTCCAAGGTAATTTACCCGGCCCTTGCTCAGGGTCCTCCTAAGTCTGAAATGACTTGAAAGCACACAACAATCCTATCTCCTCAGCCAAAAGCAGGCCCACACTTTCCATTGAAATAATAATGTTTGTATTTATTAAAATTGTTCTTCATTTTAATTATTGTATTGTTTTAAAGTGTTTTTTGCACTACAAATAAGATATGTGCAGTGTGCATAGGAATTCACTTATGTTTTTTTCAAATTATAATCTGGCCCTCCAACAGTTTTAGGGACTGTGACCTGGCCCTCTGTTTAAAAAGTTTGAGGATCCCTGGTCTACAGTCAAGGTTAAAATACAGTGATTAAGAGATTTAATTACTAGATGTGTTTTTAACCTATTGAAGGTTTTAACCGTTTTTAATTGTGCTTTTTGTTTAGATTTTAATTATAACTGATGTGGCTTTTACAGTTTTATTAGATGGAAATGTGTTTACGATGGGATTGTTTATTGTCATTTTATGTGATGTCTTTGCTTTTAGTATGTTGTTCGATGGGGAGAAAAACGGAATATAAATAAATAAATAATCTAGTTCAATTTAGTTAATATGCATGCTGAAACTGGATTCTTTATATTTACATTTTAAATGTACTAAATATACCAAATTTGCATGAAACTGTGACTTTTATTTCCTGTGCTGGTCTATGACCAAAATAAATGATTTGATTTGATGTGGCAGTGCAGATGGGGTCTTATTTGGCTTCTAAAAAAACATAACCACTTGTATAACTGTTTTCCCCCCCACTAGCTTAAGGTCCTGACAACGTTACAGGCACTGTCTTTACTTCTAACATGTTATTTCTTAGTTCTGATGAAAAGAAGGTGAAGTCCCAGTCCAGCTGTTGTGGAAAGGACCATCATATTTTGCTAAGGGTGATACTGCAACATTAAACATGGTTTCTTTGCAACAGAAACAAACTTACAGATTTGAGAATTTAGTTGTGGGTCACAAGGAAAAAGGAGGAACTATTCATTCTCCATTACTGAAAATTGCAAAATAATAATAATAATAATAATAAAGATTTATTACACACACACACACAAATAAGCCATACCTTTGGGATACCTACCTATGTTCTTTCCTTTGTCTGTGTAAAATAATGAGAGTGAGACCTCTGCGCGCTTATTTGACTTTGAGCTGGGTTTTTTCCTTGCCCGAAAAATCTCTCTCAGTGACTGTACTGCAACACCACAACAAAAGAATTCCTGTATTAGATCTGGAGGTCATACAGCTTGTATGTCACCATCATAATTATTATCGTTATCGCATGCAACCCATATGTTAGTTATCAAAACTATAAATCAATAATTATAAAATAATTATAAAATAGGCTAATACCACAATTTAGTCACACAGGTATGACAGTTTCTGGTGCAAAGCAAAGCAAAACAAAGTGGCATGTGGGTCCAAGCTTTCCTGTCTTCTCATGATGTGGCCAAAGTACTTCATCTTTGCCTCTAATATCCTTCCCTCCAGCGAGCAGCCGGGCTTTATTTTCTGGAGTATGGACTGGTTGGATCTTCTTGCAGCCCTCGGCACTCTCAGAATTTTCTTCCAACACCACAGTTTTATTGAATATATTTTATCCGAAGTGCAAGCACTCTTAATATCAATGATATTCAATACAGAAAATTGATGGTGCATCAAAAAAAGAAATCAGTTTTAAAAACAGTACATAGATGGCAGTGGTATCCCACCAAAATAAACATGTCATGCAATAATCTCCATTGTGCTGGAGAAACTGTTAAAAGAGAGGTGCTTGTGTTCATATGCGGATACACCACATATTGGCAAACTTCAGCCCTCCAGGTGTTTTGGACTACAAATCCCACAATTCCTAACACCAGTAGGCTGTTAGGAATTGTGGGAATTGAACTCCAAACACCTGGAGGGCCAAAGTTTGCCCATGCCTGGGATATAGTGCACAAAACAAATCCATTGTTTTGTACAGTATATGAAGATAATTAGTGGCATCACTGGTCAAAACAGTCAAAGGATGCTACATCCTTGCTATGATGCATATTTCAGGATAATAATGAATATTTTCCAATATAAAGATTTTCCACAATCATAACTTTCAATAGGCCGCTCTTCACTGGCTACATTTTCCTCTTTCTTTCTAAAGAAACCTGTGTAAGGACTAATCAATAGAGGATCGATAAACAAAGTCTAGGAAATCTCATTATCAGGAAAATGAACCAGCAAATTACAGAAAAGAAAAGTAATTAAATGTGTTGCCAACAGTTTTCCTGGAATTACTGGGTTGCTGTGAGTTTTCTGGCCTGTATGGCCATGCTTCAGAAGCATTCTCTCCTGACATTTCACCCACATCCTCAGAGGTTGTGGGGTCTGTTGGAAACTAGGCAAGTGGGATTTATGTATCTGTGGAATGTCCAGGGTGGGAGAAAGAACTCTCATCTATTTCAGGCAAGCCAAGCTTTAAAGCTACAAGACCATTAAATGTTAGTCAAGATGGCCAATTGCAACAATCACACTTGCCTCAAGCAGACAAAAGTTCTTTCTCCGACCCTGGACATCATTCCATTGATATATAAACCCCACTTGCCTAATTTCCAACAGACCTCACAACCTATGAAGATGCCTGCCATAGAGGTGGGTGATATGTCAGGAGAGAATGCTTCTGGAACATGGCCATACAGCCCAGAAAACTCACAACGCAGTTATTCTGGTCATGAAAGCCTTCGACAACACATTGAACAAATAAATTAAAAGAGAGCTTGCGAGAGATCAAATGCACCTATTTACATACACATTTGACAATTTCAGGTCTTTCACTTACACATAATTCTTTACTTCCAAATCTAACTTACACACACCTGGCGGGATTTCTGGGTTGGCACTTGGTGGACGCCAGAGGAGGGCTTTCATGCTGCCTTTTCTGTCTCCATCATGGTGGTCTCTCAAACTCTAAAGATACCATTAGTACTTAATATAAGGAAAGCCATGTTAGATCAAACCAAAATCATGCTTACATCTGCTTTCCTTTCGTAGTGGTTAACCAATCGTTTATGGGAGGCCTACAAGCAGAATATGAGGACAGCGCTATCTCGTGGCAAGGCATTTCCCAGGAACTGGCATAAGGAGGCATACACCCAAGAGAATTCTCTGATTCCCTACAACACTGCAGTGTAAGAAGCGTTTTGATGGATCTGATCAAATTCCGATTCCATATGGGCTCCTATGAGAAACCTACAGGACTTCACAAACACACCATTTCTGGTGGCAAAAGACACATATTATAGAATCATAGAGTTGGAAGAGATCTTGTGGGCCATCCAGTTCAACCCGCTGCCAAGAAGCAGGAAAATTGCATTCAAAGCACCCCTGACAGATGGCCATCCCTCCTCTGTTTAAAAGCCTCCAAAGAAGAAGCCTCCACCACACTCGGGGGCAGAGAGTTCCACTGCTGAACAGCTCTCACAGTCAGGAAGTTCTTCCTAATGTTCAGATGGAATCTCCTTTCCTGCCATTGCTCCATTGCAGCAGAAAACAAGCCTGTTCCCTCCTCCGTATGACTTCCCCTCACATCTTGATACATGGCCCACATCATGTCTCCTCTCAGCCTTCTCTTCTGCAGGCTAAACATGCCCATCTCTTTAAGACACTCCTCACAGGGCTTGTTCTCTGGACCCTTGATCATTTTAGTCACCCTCCTCTGGACCGATTCCCGCTTGTCAACATCTCCCTTCAATTGCGGTGCCCAGAATTGGACACAGTGTGATTCCACGTGTGATCTGATCAAGGCAGAATAGAGCATGGGTAGCATGACTTCCCAAGATCTAGACACTAGACTCCTATTTATGCAGGTCAAAATCCCATTGGCTTTTTTAGCTGCTGCATCACATTGTTAGCTCATGTTTAATTTATTGTCTACAAGGACTCCAAGAACTTTTTTCACACATACTGCTGTCGAGTCAGGCATCCCCCATTCATATTGCCTTCATGACTAGAAGCCCCTGATGTATTTGATAGTAGAAAATCCCCCTGTATGAATATGTGAAGTAAGATGTTTTTTTATTTGTCCTATATCTTCTACCCTAAGAATAGTATCAAAAAGGAACTATTTTAATTTTTTTTCCTAATGATAAACTTCAGGTGAAATGCTTTCTTGCCATCCCAGGCAATCTAAAGAATCTTTAGGACTCTCTGCTTAGTCGAATTGTCTACCTTAGTGTTTCCAAAACTTTGGTCTTCCAGCTGCCTTGGACTGTAGCTCTCAGAATTCCTAGCTGTTGGTCAAGCTGACTGAGGCTGCTGGGAGGACCAAAGTTTGGGAACCATTATAATTTTGCAAAAGTAAATTTTGTAAATGATTAAAAGCAACTTTTAGGTTTAAGAACTGGATTTTGGACAAATCTGAGTAAGATACCTATATTTCTGTTTCCGTGAAAGTCTAAGAATGGCTTTGTGTTATTAAATTGGGTCATACCATTCGGGCAAGGGTAAGGGCTGTTGGTTTTGGAGGTGACCACTTTTGTGGCCTGTTCTTCTTCTGTTTCTCTAATATTGCTAGGTTTTCTTCTTCAGGAATCAACTGATTATTTAACTGGCCTCTTGCTCGTTGTCTCAAGGATTCCACTAGCAGGGCACACTGAAAACAAACAAAAAATACGTTTAGACTTCCCTCCCAATGATTTCATGAAAAAACGTATTAGCAGTTCCTACTCTGGCTGAGCCACCAAGGAAAAACACTTACTATTTCCATACAATCTGAAGGGAAAGTGGAGATGTTCCCAAACATGCAAGGCATGGGCTTGAAACATGCCCTATGCATGAAGAAAAACTGAATTCTCTCTAGCCTTCTGTATTAGATTGGTAGGATAATTATTGATTTATTTCCTATCATCTATACTTTTTACTGATTCGTATTTTATTGTTCTTATTCTAACCTTTTCATGACCTACCTTGTGCAGGCCAAATCCTTTAAGTATTTTTAAAGGATGTGATTTCCTAGCTGACCTACTGCAGGTTAGAAACACACCTCTCTCCCTTTCATACTTATGGTTTTGTCCCAGCAGCTACAACTGGAATAATGTTCAGATTCCACCTAAATATTAAGAAGAACCTAACTGTTAGAGCTGTTCAGCAGTGGAACTCTCTGCCCCAGAGTGTAGTGGAAACTCCTTCTTTTGGAGGCTTTTAAACAGAGGCTGGATGGCCATCTGTCGGGGGTGCTTTGAATGCAATTTTCCTGCTTCCTGGCAGGGGGTTGGACTGGATGGCCCCGAGGTCTCTTCCAACTCTATGATTCTAAACATCAGAAGTGGCCCCTGAGTGTGGTCAAGGTTGGTATCAGACTCAGAAGTTGATAACTGTTGTCGTAAGGTACCCAACATAGTATGGAATTGCTACCAACTTGTGGCTCTTTTGGACCTTCCTAATACTCCTTTGCTGTGCTTGCTCCTTTGCCTGCCATCTTCAAGCAAATCAGTAATGATGGCAGCAAAGTCAAGGAGCTGAAACCTCTTGGGCGCTATCTCTCAGAAGTGAAGTAAACAATGTTTCTAAACACTCCCTACCATTCTGCTTAATGAATAATAGCCATTTTGAGGAGAAGTCAGGTTTGAATATACCTTATGAGAATAGTAAAGGTAAAGGTTTTCGCCTGACATTAAACCCAGTTGTGTCTGACTCTAGGGTTGGTCCATTTCTAAGCTGAAGAGCCAGCGTTGTCCATAGACATCTCCAAAGTCATGTGGCTGGCATGACTGCATGGAGTGCCATTACCTTCCCGCCGGAGAGATACCTATTGATCTACTCAAATTTGCATATTTTCGAACTGCTAGGTTGGCAGAAGCTGGGGCTAACAGTACGAGCTCACACCGCTCCCTGGATTCAAACCTGCGAACTTGGTTAGCAAGTTCAGCATCTCAGCGCTTTAACACACTGTGCCACTGGGGGCTCCTACCTTATGAGAATAGCTGACTGCTTTTTCCATCTCAGACAGGATGAGGCTGATATCATCACTTTCAAAGATGCCTGGTTTGGGGAGTGAAAGAAGTACAGAAAATGACCATCCTAAGTATTTATGTGCAACTGTTCAAAACCTCGTAAGCAATGTAAGAAATGTAATACAATGTTGGGTTGCAATTCCTAAACTTTGGCTATGCTGACAAGGTCCAAGGAAACTAAAGTCCAACAACATCAGGAAGGAAGCAGGTTTCTCACCCTGTACAGCAATGGTTCCCAACTTGTGGTCCATGGACCACCAGTGGTCCCCAAGAACTAAAATATGGTCCGCGCCCTCACCGTTACTATACTGTTGCAACGAAACTGACTGGTCCTGTGAAACCCTCTTATAGTGCTGAGGCAATGGGGATTTTCTTAATCAGCACCCCAAATAACCAAACCAAATCTGATTCATAATTCTTTTGGTACTAGTGTCCCTGGTCATAGTGGTACCTGGTCAAAAAAAGGTTGGGAACCACTGCTGTACAGACACTAATAAACTAGACTGACTAATGACCTGATGCTGTATTAGACAGCATTCCATAATACCCTGAATGAAAGATATGTTTGAGAAATACAGGCAGTCCCTGCATTACATCCAATTCATAGTTAAGAATGAGGAGCGTGAGGGTGGGGAGACAACAGGAAGTGAGAGAAAATATATCCCTAAGAAGGGAAATTCACTCCTTGAAGAGATATCAAGAGGAAAAGGTGCTTCCACTGAAGCTTTATCACCAATCCTTGCTTCCGAAACAACCAAAAATTTTCAACATCCAATTATAACAAGGAGTGAAAGCGAGGTAAAATCTTCTTAACAGGGGTCAAAGACCACAAAACAAACATTACAGTGGTGTTAACCCAATGTTATCCAAAAGTAAAAATCTATATTTTTGGCTGGAGTTAACTTAAAAAATGTACCTGTTCTGACTTACATACAACTTCAACTTAAGTACAAATCTACAGAACTTATCTTGTCCCTAAACTGGGGGCTGTCTGTACTATTACTGCAGCAGTTGGGACAAGACAGAATAAGAATGGATGCAAAAGAAAGCACTCGTATTTTTTTAAAGAATTAATCACAGTGGGATGAAAGAGGGGCCTCAATTTTGGAAAAAGTACAGGAAGCCTACATGTTGTTACTGAGAAGAAGCTACAGGTCTACAAAAGGCACACCGAAGTCCATCACTGCACCTGTTTCTCCAAACCAATGAAAGCGTCCATTGGCAGACTGCACAATTTCTTTGAAAGCGGCAGCCATTTCATTTGGACTTGCGTAGCGCGGGGGAATATCTTCATCGAAGGGAAAACCATTGACACTGAACAGGCAGACATGCAGCTGCAAGTCACAGCCTCCACAGACTTCAGTCATATAAGAGCATACTGCGTGCTGGAAAGCAAAGTGAAAAGTCACTGTCACCAAATTTATTATTTCACATTTATATGAGGGGCGAGGAACTTCAGCTCCTGGGCCAAATTCTCTCTAGGCTTCCTCCAATGGCTGCAAACCCCACTCCATTATGGATCATCTGATACAAAATCCAAGTTTTCCATTTTTCCTTCTCATTGTAAAAGATTTCACAAGTGTTGAATTTGTAGAGAATAAGCAACTATGTTGACCTTTTTCTACAAGGAGCTTTTTTGTGAATGTGATCACTCCTAGATGCCCATTAAGTCCTGCCTACTCTAAAATACTTTGGCTTGCCCACATGGAAAGCTTGTGCAATTGTGTTTTTGCTTGGAAAATCTATTTCAACTTGTGAGGATTGCTGTCAAATCAGAAAGAGTGGCAGATGACATCATTCCTGCTAATCAAGAAATCTTATCGTTTTGATCTTGAAAACTACTCTAGACCTCTGTCCCTTACCTAAAGGTATCCTAAGATGGACTAAAGAGGTCTGCCAGTTTAATTAATTAATGCCATACAAATGTGTGGATGCTGAGCTGGTAGTAGTATTTGATGAAAAAATCAACAATGCCATTACTTGTATTGGAAACTGCTACACATTCAAAACTAAAATAGAAATATCCATGCCTTACTTACACTGTCTCAATTTAGCAGAAATTGGGGTGAGATGGGGAATTGTGTTTTTGAAAAGAGAAGTTATATCATTCCCTTTAAGAAGAAGGAGTACAGTGGCATGCCAAGGCCAACCATGATTGAACAGTGGTAGAATGATATTCTAGATGCCGTTTTAGTATGCCCATTCCACTTTTTTTTCCCTAAAAAGCACCCTGCTTGAGAGTACGAATAATTTTGAAATGTATAGGTAAAGGTAAAGGTTTTCCCCTGACATTAAGTGCAGTCGAGTCTGACTCTGGGGGTTGGTGCTCATCTCCATTTTTAAGCTGAAGAGCCGGCGTTGTCCATAGACGCCTCTAAGGTCATGTGGCCAGCATGACTGCATGGAGTGCCATTGTCTTCCCATTGAAGCGGTACCTATTGATCTACTCAAATTTGCATGTTTTCGAACTGCTAGGTTGGCAGAAGCTGGGGCTAACAGCGGGAGCTCACGCTGCTCCCCAGATTTGAATTTGCGACCTTTCGGTCAGCAAGTTCTGCAGCTCAGTGCATTAACCCACTGCACCACTGGAGGCTCCTTGTAATGTATACAACAGTGCAAAAATTAATAAAGAAAACATACAGAGGATTTTCATGTTGACGTCTCTGTGAATGTGCAAATTATGGGAAACATAATAAACAGATCTAGATGCATGTATCATTAGGTAACAATGGAATCATACCCACCACTTCTTGGTCAGGGACTCCAGTGGTGAACAGGTAAATGCTCTGAGATTCATATTTGTCTTTTTCCTGGAAGTCCACTTCCACAGCTCTTCTCAGAGCGGCCATCACATTTCTAGTGCCTTCACATTGCAAAGCTAATATCCACCTAAAAGAGAGATCTTAGCAATGATCTAAACATGCAAGTGTTGCCTAGGTTCTAATATGCCATGATTATAATCTCAAATATTTGTTTTTGCTTTGTGCCAGTTTAAGATGCAGTTTCTTTAAACAGCTTTAGATGTTACCTAGTAGCAAAAGAGTAGGAAGAGCATGTGAGTCACAATCCCTTGTGTGTGGGACTTGTGAAGAAGATGCAAAAACTATCTGAACGTATATCTCTTTATGAGCCAGGTAGAGCACTAAGATCGGTGGAGGAGGTCCTGCTCTTGGTCCTACCACCCTCACAGGCACGACTGGTGGGGATGAGAGACAGGACCTTCTTGGTGGAGGCCTCTCAGCTGTGGAACTCCCTCCCCAGTGAGATCAGATTGTCCCCCTCCCTCCTGATGTTCAGGAAACTACTCAAAAAGTAGTTTTTCAAACAAGAAAAGAGAATGAAGTAGTGAAGATATCCTGGGATTGGTAGAATGTAGAATGTCTTATGTTTTATGTTTGTTTATATCCAATGTTTTATAGTTCATTGGTTTTAACATACTGTAATATGTTATTTTAGTTATGTAATACATTTTATATTGTGAGGCATTGAATTTAGTCATTTGCTTTGTTGTGAACCGCTTTAAGTCCCCCTAGAGTTTGAGAAAAGGGGTATATAAATGAAACAGACACACAAATAACAACAACAACAACAACAACAATAATATAACAATAATAATAATAACACCACCACTTTATTTATATTCCGCCCTTCTCACCCTGAAGGGGACTCCGGGCGGATCACAGTACATATACACGGCAAACATTCAATACTGATTTGTATAGACAATACCCAAACAGACAGAACAGAAGGAAGTGGTTTGTTTCAGCTGTTTTTGGTGCCATGGAAGGTTGGGCTTGAGTCCAGGGGGTGTTGTTGCTCTATCCTCTATGACGAAGAGCCATCAGGACTTCCTCCTTCCTTTTGGTCACCAAGCATTTTCTGATCTTCTTTCTTTTATGGCATCGTAAAAAACCTCCCCCACTTTTAGTGGTACCTAATTTCGCTAATCACAGCTAAAGCTGTTTTCGAATTGCTTAGGTAAACAATGAGCTAGGCTGACAGTTGGCAGCTTACGCCAACTTGGAGCTTAAAACTTGCAACCTTTGGGTTGATAGATCTTATAATTGCTGATGATTTACCAGCTGTGCTAAACTGGTGTTACATCTGGAATTTGTACCAGATATGCTCTTTTTAGCAGATGTTTATTTATACCGATAACATCCATGTGAAATTGCTAACCTGGGCTTCAAAAGCAACAAAGGAAACTTACTTACCTCCAAGCATGTTGTAAATTATCTGGATGTGGAGGAACCATTTCGGGTTGCCATGCCTTAACATCACTTCCAAAACTGCAAAAACATAAAAATAATTCAATATTAGTTGCATTCATGAACCCCCTTAAACTGTAAATCTTAGTGTAATAAACCATAATGTGAATAAGCTATGGGCTGAGGCATATGCATTTATTTTTACTTCATTTTGCTCCTCTCTTCATGACAGTGGATAAATAAACCCAGAAGAGATAGCATTGAGAAATGGCCAAATTATGTGGGTTTATGTGGAGGATTTAGGTATGTATATCAAAGCAAGTTACAGTTCTTTATCCAGTAACTAAGCCATCACAGAAGCATCCTTTTATCCATCCTATAGTTATTGGGGTTGCTCAGAGCCTTCAGCACCACTGTTTGATAAAGGCGTTTTTATAGTTCCAAGTACAAAGCATCTCCTGGCTAGGAATGGAAAAATTATTGTCGAAAATGTATTTCTCAAGTGTTTGGAAATTAAGATGAGATGAATTCTGGACTCAAGAATATCTTTATGGAAATCAATGTGCAGAAAATTTAAACACAAGAAGGTTTCCAAAGAAAACAGCACTTTGTATACTATAAACAGCATTTTCTGCATACAAAAATGTACAAGTTCTGTGCAAAAACAACTCCTAAACTTGAATAGTGTTCCAAAATGATATTTTTTCAAAAACTTTCTCAAAGAGGGAAGAATATTGCTAAAATTCCTAGTTGCACTGTTCCTTTGAGGAGAAACTGAGTGAAGAGTGACATCCTAACGCTCCCCCTTTTCCAGTGTCTCCCCAACTCCTCCTCTCCATATGTATTCAAATAATAATAACACACTTTATTTATATTCTGCTCTATTCCCCCCCCCCCCGCCGACAAACACAGATAGGTAAACATTCAGTGCCTTAATACTGTGGAATAACAATGACATACTGATACAGAGAACAAAGGTAAAGGCTTTCCCTTTCATCTCCGGATTTCTGGAGACGGTGCTCAACTCTGGCCATGGAGAGGCGCAATTGTTCCATTTCCAAGCCGAGGAGCCTGTTGTCCATAGACATCTCCTGGTTGTGTTTTGCTGGCATGGTTACATAGGAGCCTTTATTACCTTCCTGTCGGTGCAGTACCTATTGATCTACTCACATTTGCATGTTTTTGAACTGCTAGGTTGGTAGGAGCTAGGGCTAACAGCGGAAGCTCAACCCACCCCGCAGCTTCGAACTGCCAACCTTTAGATCAGCAGATTCAACAATTTAATGGTTTAACCACCGCAGTGGTTGCACCACCGCAGCCCCTGAGGCAGATGGTTCCTCTTAATTCAGATGGTTCCTGAAGCAAAAACAGTCTATGTTGTTAATGTACCTATTATCCTCCATGAACAATGACAGAATAGCTTCATAGTTAGTTACTCACGCTATAATATTGAAGAAATCCTTGCTTGGCATCTGCTCCTCAAGTAAGAGCCGCAGGCAATGCTGAACATGAATGATGTACATGGAGTTTGCTTTGGAGACATCAATAAGTATAACAGCCCTGTTTGAGAATTATGGAAATCAGTTACATTTATTTCATCAAGTAATCACACTGTGGAGATCTAGAGCAGGGAACCTATGAATCAGGGTTGGGAAAATCTTTGGATCTCCAGATATATTTTGGTACTTCTACAATCCCTTATTGCTGGCTCTGTTGACTGGTGAGAAGTGAAATCCCAAATATCTGGATATATATAAGAGTTGTCCACCCCCAAAATGAAGTTTATAATTTTGAGGAGGAAATTATATTAGTGTAATGGCGGTAACTCTGACCCTTATCAATTCAGATAAAATTATGGCCATACATATTTCTGTACTACAAAACTGTTATGGGGAAGTGGTATGGATAAGTATTTTTAAGAATGGTATATTTTTTTAAAATCAATAATAATAATAATAATAATAATAACAACAACAACAACAATAGAAACAATAGAAGTTTTAAACTAAGTTAGGTGCTTTTTATTATTACATTTATCATTATTGTATGTTATGAAGTATATATGATGATTGTATCTTTGTATATTTTACTTGTTGACCTTATCAATTCATTAAGAAAACTCTATAATAATAATAATAATAATAATAATAATTATTATTATTATTATTATTATTAGTATTATTATTGTTGTTGTTGAAGGATTGAATAATAATAATGATGATGATGATAAGGATTGAAGAGAAAATAATAATAATAATAATAATAATAATAATAATAATAAGGATCAAAGAGAAACAACTGAAAAGCCTGACACGATATGAGGATTTAAAGATCGAATTGCAAAGACTCTGGCACAAGCCACCAAAGGTGGTCCCAGTGGTGATCGGCACACTGGGTGCAGTGTCTAAAGACCTTGGCCTGCACTTAAACACAATTACCATCCGCCAGCTGCAAAAGGCCACCTTACTGAGACCTGCACGCATTATTCGCCGATACATCGCACAATTCTAGACACTTGGGAAGTGTCCGACGTGTGATCCAATACAACAGCCAGCAGAGTGTCTGCTGTGGACTCATCTTGTTGTGTTTCAAATAACAACAACAACAACAATAATAGAACAGGGTACAGACGCAGAAGAAAAAGCACAATACCTCCTCTCTCCTACCATTCCCCAAATTCTTCTACTACCAATTGAGAGCAAATCGATGCGCCTCTCATACAGCCTCACAATCCTTCCAAGTTGCTTCTATAAATACAATACAGAAATATGTGTTGTCGAAGGTTTTCATGGCTGGAATCACTGGGTTGTTGTGAATTTTTGGGACTGTATGGCCATGTTTCAGAAGCATTCTCTCCTTACGTTTCACCCACATCTATGGCAGGCATCCTCACAACCTCCAAGGACGCCTGCCATAGATGTGGGCAAAATGTCAGGAGAGAATGCTTCTGGAACATGGCCATACAGCCCAGAAAACTCACAACAACCCAATACAGACATAGCTGATGGTAATCATTACACAGACATTTGATACAATAATTTGGGAAAGAGCAAAGGCACAGTGTTGGTGAGAGAACGTATTCTGGCCTGCAAAGGTCTAAACCGAGTCCTGTTCACTCTGTAACCTCACCTTTCCTCCTGCTCTGTAGAGAACTGCTGCTATCTCCAGTCACTAAAGGTACATCCACACTACATAATTACAATGAATTTGATACCACTTCCGTTATCACGGCTCCATCTTATGGAATCCCGGGATTCATCAAGGTCTACTCCTGCAGCTGGAGGGAGTAAAATATAGAAGTCTTAGTTCCTCTCCAAACTACAGATCCCAACATTCCATAAAAAAGAGGCATTGTAGTATCAAACTGCTATGAATGTGCAGTGGGAATATACCCTAGATCTATACTAGGCATGGGCAAACGTTGGCCCTCCAAGTGTTTTGGACTTCAACTCCCACAATTCCTAACAGCCTGTAGGCCAAAGTTTGCCCATGCCTGCTTTACACAACATGTGCGGGGAAAATCCAAAGCCTAAGACACTAAAAAGCTACTCACTATCTACCTGAGAGATACTATGAGGTAAGACAGATTAAAAAGCAGCATTTTATAACAAACAAACTCAGATATATGTCTATTTATGTAGAATGAATTATAGTGATTAATTCCAAAGGAAAATGTTTTGGCTCTTCTGTGTTGCAAACTGGACACATTTGCATCATGAGCTAGGAATGTGTGAAATTTGTAAAAGATTGATGCAAAATGTTTTGCTGTGTAAAGCTTCCTCACCCCCACTCCCAGTATTGGTCATAAGGCAAAGGGTAGGTAAAGGTAAATGTTTCCCCTGACATTAAGTCCAGTTGTGTCTGACTCCGTGGGGTGGTGCTCATCTCCATTTCTAAGCTGAAGAGCCGGCATTGTCCGTAGACACCTCCAAGGTCACGTAGCCACCATGACTACATGGAGCACCATTACCTTCTCGCCGGAGCGGTACCTATTGATCTACTCACATCTGCATGTATTTCAACTGTTAGGTTGACAGAAGCTGTGGCTAACAGCAGGAGCTCATGCCACTCCCTGGATTCAAACTGTTGACCTTTCAGTAAGCAAGTTCAGCATCTCAGCGGTTTAACCCACTGTGCCACCGGGGCCAAAAGACAAGATGGTATACTCAACCCAGCCAACCTCGTATTTATTTATGTATAGGAGCCATGGTGGCGCAATGGTTTAAACCCTTGTGCCAACTGAACTGCTGACATGAAGGTCGATGGTTTGACTTCATGAGATGGGGTGAGCTCCCATCTGTCAGCTCCAGCTTCCATGCGGAGACATGAAAAGCCTCCCACAGGATGGTAACACATCCGGGCGTCCCTTGGGCAACGTCTCTGCAGACAGCCAATTCTCTCACACCAGAAGTGACTTGCAGTTTCTCAAGTCACTTCTGACACAATTAAAAATATGTATAAACAGTAGTAAACTAGCAGTAATGTTCACTTGCTAATATATAGGTTGTAATGCACATGTGTCCTCAAAAAAGCATCACTGGTGAATTATTCTTTTGGCTGCAGAGAATTCACTGTTGCTGGATGCCAGGACAATATAATGATATTTATCAGGAATTCAGTCAAATCAGGCAAGGCTTGACTGGTAATCATCACCTGGTAGTTATAAAGTATTGGTGGGTCTACGTGGACATTTTTAACAGTTCCATCATGCCATTCAAACTGCATCATTGCTTTCTGAAATGAGAAAGAAGCAACACAACAAGAAATAATCAGGGCCAGCTAATACCTCCCAACAAAGGATTCCCCCAAGTAGGAAGCAGACTTGCTTTGAAGCTGCAAGGCTATTCAATGCTAATCAAGGTGGCCAATTGAAACATTCACACTTGCCTCAAACAGACAAGAGTTCTTTCTTCCACCTTGGACATTCCACAGACATATAAACCCCATTTTCCTAGTTTCCAACAGCCCTCACAACCTCTGAGGATGCCTGCCATAGATGTGGGTGAAACATCAGGAGACAATGCTTCTGGAGCATGGCCATACAGCCTGGAAAACTCACAACAACACAATGATTCTGGCCATTAAAGCCTTCGACAATACAATTCCACATCCATGTGTCCATGTAGGTCCCAACCACCCATTCAGGAGAAAAAGTATGAAATAAATGGAATGAAATGAATGCATATACATTAAGAAGCATGCTAGATTGGATGCATTCAAATTACTAAATTTTTATTTAAAAAATATATCTTCTACATTTACTTCGTGTAACGTTGATGATACTCTTTTCTGAAGCACAGGCACAAATTCTTCTACTGGGGAAAAGGCATTTGGTGCCAAAACTTGATAAAGGATCAGCTTCTTGGCTGCAGCAAACAAAAATGGGAAAGATCAGCAAACATCCTTTTCTGTTGAGTCAGGACTTCATTCCACATGGAACTCTTTGACCTACTTTACCTTTCAGGCCATTCGTTTTCAGCCATTCAGCCGAGCTCTTGGTTAAAAGGTTTGGGATTTGTATCACAAGTGGACTTTCATGTCTTGGGGGCTTTGGCAGGCACACAGCTGAAGGAACCTCCAACCATTCCATGGAACCCTAGACACAAAAATGCAAAATGTTCTGTGTAGAAACTAATAGAATTATCTTTATCCGTGCTATATTTCTAATATTTCCCAATTTCTCTCAAATAAGCTCAGAACAGGATCTACGCATACTTTATTCTTGGGACCACCCTCAAAATAAATTAATCCAAAAAACATAATCTTGCTTGTTTATATATACAGCTCCAGAATTGGGCTTCTTAAACTTTTTCCACTTGCAAACCCTTCCCACCCAAGAAATTTTAGGTAAATAGGTATATAAAATGTACTAAAAAATAAACCAGCATTTGCATGGCTTGCTAAACAGACTGATTTTCCTTTTTGTGGAGTATACTAAAGCACTTTCTGCAGAGTCTGATAGTGTTCAGAAACCTTTTACTTTTGGCCAAACATTCAGCTAAGGAAGCGTTTCTCAACCTGGTGGTCGGGATCCCTGGCGGGTCGCAAGGGGTGTCAGAGGGGTCACCAAACACCATCAGAAAACACAGTACTTTCTGGATTGTTGTAGGTTTTTAGGGTTATATGGCCATGTTCTAGAAGCATTCTCTCCTGCAGCTTCTGCAGGGAGAATGCTTCTGGAACATGGTCTCATAACCCAAAAAACCTACAACAACCCAGTGATTCCAGTCATGAAAGCCTTCATTTTCTGTTGGTCATGGGGGTTCTGTGTGGCGAGTTCGGCCCAATTTTATCGTTGGTGGGGTTCAGAATGCTCTTTAATTGTAGGTGAACTATAAATCCCAGCAACGACATCTTCCAAATGTCAAGCTCTATTTTCCCCAAACTCCACCGATGTTCACATTTGGGCATGTTGAGTATCCATGCCAAGTTTGGTCCAGATCTATCATTGTGTGTGTCCACAGCGCTCTCTGGATGTAGGTGAACTACAACTCCAAAACTCAAGGCCAATACCCACCTAAGCCTTCCAGTAGTTTCTGTTGGTCACGGGAGTTCTGTGTGCCAAGTTTGGTTCAATTCCAACGTTGGTGGAGTTCAGAATGCTCTTTGATTATAGGTGAACTATAAATCCCAGTAATTACGACTCCCAAATGACAAAATCAACCCCCTCCTCACCCCATCAGTATTCAAATTTAGGTATATTTGGTATTTGTGCCAAATTTGGTCCGGTGAATGAAAATACCTCCTGCATATCAGATATTTACATTATGATTCATAACGGTAGCAAAATTACAGTTATGAAGTAGTAATGAAAATAATTTTATGGTTGGGGGTCACCACAACATGAGGAGCTCTATTTAGAGGTTGCGGCATTAGGAAGGTTGAGAACCACTAAGCTTAGGGATCCACAGTTTAAGAATTAGTTCTCTAGATTATTTAAATCGAACACTCTAAGCCAGGCAAGGCAAACTTCAGCCCTCCAGGTATATTGAACTCCCAGCCGGAACGCTGTTAGGAATTGTGGGAGTTGAAGTCCCAAACACCTGAAGGGCTGAAGTTTGCCCTTGCCTGCTCTAAGCCAAGCATCTCTTGTCCTTTGCCTGTTTCAGACTTCAACTTACACCACCTCTAGCGAACCATTGATCAAGATGATGATAGTTGTACTTTGAAACATCTGGAGGATTCAGAGGGCCTTCACTCCTCATCTAACTACTTGTCAGTTCCTGATTGCAAAGATTCTGCAGAAGTCAATTACTAAAATCCATGCCATATGAGCACAGCATAGAAGAAGCACATTCCTCTTTTCTCCAAGCTGAGGGGGAAAAGGAAGGGGCTTGAGGCTGTTAGGAATGTTGGGAGTTGAAGTCCACAACACTTGGAGGGCCCAAGTTTGTCCATGCCTAGTCTAAGACAATGGCAGTCACATCCCCTGAATTAATCTTGCCAAGAAAACACCATGATAGGGTTGCTATAAGTTGATTTGAAAGCACCTAAGAATAACATACTTTTAATATAGAAAGAGAGCTTGATATGATTCAGGATTCACCAATATCAACAATATGGAGCACTATTACATTGATATGGCATGTATGTACTTGATGATGTTCTTTCAGAAGATCTTCCTTCCCATTTTGTTTACATGCCACTCAAGGTCAAAGGTAAAGGTAAAGGTTTTCCCCTAACATTAAGTCCAGTCGTGTCCGACTCTGGGGGTTGGTGCTCATCTCCATTTCTAAGCCGAAGAGCCAGCGTTGTCCGTAGACACCTCCAAGGTCATATGGCCAGCACGACTGCATGGTGTGCCGTTACCTTCCCGCCAGAGCAGTATCTATTGATCTACTCACATTTGCATGTTTTCAAACTGCTAGGTTGGCAGAAGCTGGGGCTAACAGCTGGAGCTCACCCTGATCCCTGGATTTGAACCTGCGACCTTTCGATCAGCAAGTTCAGAAGCTCAGTGCTTTCACCCACTGAGCCACCGGGGGCTCCACTCAAGGTAACTAACAACAAATAAGAAACTGTCAAAGTAGAACATTAGATAACTAGACATTCAAGAACCTTTAGTGCTATTATCCTCTTGAAGTCAAAGTACTTACCTCTTTGATTAAATTAAAAAGCGAGTCAACCATCCTGCCTTGGTAGATTTCACTTATAATGCTGAGCAAGTGTTCGGCTTTTTGACGTTCACAAAGGACAAAGTGGATATCAGTGCTGTCACAACCCTGATACAGTGTTGAGGAAAGGATCAGATGTATTTTGAGTTATTTGCAGGTTTGCTATCTTTGCACATTTTTATTATTTATTTACAATTTACACAATGAAGTTATGCATTACTGTAGTATGATTTCTCATTTTTGATAGAAAACTCACAAAGTTATGTTTAAATATAATCTCATCAAAAGGAGAAATATGAATTATAAATGTAAGGAGAGTCATGATGGACACAACTGAAGGTCTATCTCTAGCTCAACATATTGGATGGCCATCTGTCGGGGGTGCTCTGAATGCGATTTTCCTGCTTCTTGGCAGGGGGTTGGACTGGATGGCCCACGAGGTCTCTTCCAACTCTATGATTCTATATTGTTTGCACGTCACTAACAAATTGCATTTGTCTGCAAGAAATAAAGATGTCAACATCCTTTACTTCATCTTCCCCAACAACTGACTACAGAATTATCTAAGGGTTTAATATGTATCATCCCAGATCCTTGGAAGAGCAAGGTGCAATCTTCCAGATGTTCCACCAAATTGATGGAAGATGGGAACAAAACTCAATAAAATCAGCACAGCCACAAGTTGCTCACTCCTAATTTGCAAGTATGCACAGCTTTTTCATCTAAGCTCCCATCTACACTGCAATATAATGCAGTTAAACTTCATTATATGTGTCTACACTGACCATATAATGCAGCTTCAAATTGCACTGTAGAGCAGTATGGATGGGGCCTAAGAGTGCCAAATTCAAATTTAAGCAGATCAAAAGATATAGAATAGCAACRCAGAAAACATTTATTTCAATTCACCCTTTCCAAACTCAAAACTTCTCAAACAGGCYGTAAATTCTGCAAGATGAGTGGGTTGCTGTGAGTTTTCCAGGCTGTATGGCCATGTTCCAGAAAGATTCTCTCCTGACATTTCACCCACATCTATGGCAGGCATCCTCAGAGGTTGAGGGGTCTGTTGGAAACTAGGTAAGGTTTATATATCTGTGGAATGTCCAGGATGGGAGAAAGGACTCTTGTCTGCTTGAGGCAAGTGTGAATGTTGCAAATGGCCACCTTGATTAGCATTTAATGGATTGTCGAAGGCTTTGATGGCCGGAATCACTGGGTTGTTGTAGGTTTTTTCCGGGCTATATGGCCATGTTCTAGAGGCATTCTCTCCTGACGTTTTGCCTCACTACCTCTGAGGATGCTTGCCATAGATGTAGACGAAACGTCAGGAGAGAATGAAAGGCCAGAAATGGGAGCCACAGGTGTGTGAAACTGGCATGAAATGAAATATTTTCTAGCAATGCTGCTATGAATCTTAAAATAAGGATGGATCTGCTCCCTTTTATGTTGTTATATATCAGAATTTTGAAAGAGGACGATTTTTATTCACTAGATAACCAGGTGAATGAGCCTGTGAAAGGACAGCAATCTTCATGACAACTATTTATATTAGAGCACAAGCAACTCTGATTAAACATCACTTACTTCCTCCTTGGTTGAATAACAATGGTAACTGCCTCTCACATCTTCTGCCATGCTTTTTACAACTGCCTGTATTGATTGTATTAAAGAAAAGTACTCAGTTGAGAAATAATTCAAAGATATCAAGGTCACTAAACCAGAACTTTATAAAGAATAGGACAAGAAACCTGGACTTAAATAGAAAACCATCATGATTCATTGCCGCTTGTCCAAAATGATCACACTCAGTTTACACATGCATGCAGTTCTATTACATCTGGCAATTTTTCCATCCTGAACATGAAGAAGTTTGTGAATTTTGATAAATTATTTTCAGTTCCGACATTAACTAGAATTCTCAAACAACCCTATTAAAGGGCCTTTCAAAAAGTTGCAATTCCTCATCCATCTGCAGATCCACTTTCAATCTCAGATGGAGATACTTCTTCACTTGCTACCGTTTCTTTGCAACTAGGGACACCAAAGTCTGAAACGGGGCTTCCTGCAGGTCAAGTATGTGCCTCAGCACTACATTATGTCAACTACAGACTTACAGGAGGGACGTGACTACTGCAATCATATGTGACGGTATGGACCAGCAGATCTCTCCCCGCTGTGCCTTGTTGGATATAGTCGGACAATATTCCTGAAGACTGATCTGGACTAGTTTGAGAAAGAAGAAAAGTTATTCTAAACATTAGGAAATTAAATCAAAGGATTAAGTTTATCAAGCAAATAAAAAGTCAGCATTTGCTGTTGATTCAGAGAAACGACTTACCAGCTTGCAACAATAATCACAAGCGAATCCAGTTCTTTTAGAACAAAGACTTTCTTCAAAGCTTTCAGTAAATTGCTGCCTCCACTGGGTTTCAGTCCCTGGACCCATTGCCTTGCTTCATGTAAGCTATCAGAGGGGAATGGAAGCAGAATAGATTGCATGCCAATTAGATACAAGTTAGTGCCAAACATTGTAAAAAAATACTACATTGGCACATGACTGTATTAAGGTAAACGTAAAGGTTTCCACTTTACATTAATTCTTGTTGTGACTAACTCTGGGGGGTGGTGCTTATCTCCATTTCTAAGCCAAAGAGCTGGCGTAGTTCATAGATGCTTCCAAGGTCATGTGGCCGGCATAACTGCATGGAGCGCCATTATCTTCCTGTAGAAGAGGTACCAATTGATCTACTCACATTTGCATGTTTTCAAACTGCTAGGCTGGCAGAAGCTGGGGCTAACAGCGGGAGCTCACCCCACTCCCCAGATTTGAACCGATGACCTTTCGATCAGCAAGTTCAGCAGGTCAGTGGTTTAACCTGCTGCGCCACCAGCGGCTCCTAATGACTGTATTATCAATATCCAAGTATCAGTCTGCAAAAGGCCTCACAGGCAGTCTGCAAAAGGCCTGATAATTCTAGAAAGTCCCAGAATTCCTTAAATAGGACTAGCTATTCACCTGTCCATATGCATGCAAATGAACACACACACTGTACTGTATGCTACTAGCCCTTGCCTCTGTGGGCTGTTTCACAATAGCAGCTTCAGGGTTATCAAGGTGTTAAAAATAAGCCTGACAATTTTGTTTTTGTTCAGTGAAGAGTTTGGAGGCCTCAGTTTCCAACCACAAAATGAGTTTCTCATTTGTTAGCATTTGTTTTGTTTTTATTTGAATGACATGCTCTGAGCATCTTTGGCTGATGCGCCCTGCTTAATGACATCACCAGGGCAACCTCCTGCAACATCCCTGAGACACAAAGGAGCAATTACCCAGATGCACTGCTCCAGAAGCCATTGAAGCTCAGGCAAGCCAGTCAAAGAGGCTGATGGAAATTTCCATGGAGGTCTAAAAGCCAAACAGAAGAATGGATGGAAACCATGACATTCAGATAAAGTGACCTTGCATGTTGTGCATAGCTAGGATATGGAAAATCATTATGTTCCAGGGATTTATATAACTGAAGGACAAATATCAAATGTATAGTTCTGCTAAGGAGCCCCAGTGGTGCAGCTGGTTAAACCGCTGAGCTGTTGAACTTTCTGACCAAAAGGTTGGCAGTTCAAATCCGAGGTGCGGGGTGAGCTCCCGCTGTTAGCCCCAGCTTCTGCCAATCTAGGAATTCAAAAACATCCAAATGAGAGTAGATTGATAGGTACCAGGGGGAAGGTAACAGTGTGCCATGCAGCCATGCGGCCACATGTACTTGGAGACTGGCAGTTCAAATCCGAGGTGCGGGGTGAGCGCCTACTGTTAGCCCCAGCTTCTGCCAATCTAGCAGTTCACAAACATGCAAATGAGAGTAGATCAATAGGTACTGCTCCAGGGGGAAGGTAACAGTGTGCCATGCAGTCATACCGGCCACATGAATTTGAAGACGGGAAGGTAACAGCGCTCCATGCAGTCATACCGGCCACATGACCTAGGAGGCGACTATGGACAATGCTGGCTCTTCGACTTAGAATGGAGATGAGCACCCCTCCCCCAGAGTCGGACACCACTAGATTTAATGTCAGGGGAAACCTTTACCTTTACCTTATATTTCTGCTTGGTTTTGCAATAACTTGGCTTTAAGTATGAACATAAGATGTATGATAATTTGGGGATGGAGTCAGAGTGTTGGTTTACATACGGCTATTCTTTTCTGATGCACCATGCTGAATAAATTGTATTCATTTACCACCCCTATCTAGTTGAATTCTTATGGGGTATTTTGTGTTTCTCTCTACATCAGATCTGGCTGGTTTTTTTTACAGGCATTAGCTAGAAATTCTTCTCCCAAGAATAAGCACACTGCTTGTCATTCAACAGCCTCAGGACAAGTTTATTCTCACCAGAGAAGAGTGGTGATTCTTTTCCTATGCTGGCACAACTTCAGATTACAAGTAAACCACTTTTTAGGGTTTTTTTTTTCTGTGTCAGGAGCAACTTGAGAAACTGTAAGTTGCTTCTGGTGTGAGAGAATTGGCCATCTGCAAGGACGTTGCCCAGGAGATGCCCGGATGTTTTACCATCCCTTGGGAGACTTCTCTCATGTCCTCGCATGAGAAGCTGGAGCTGACAGACGGGGGCTCACCCCGCTCCCTTGAGCAACTGCAAGTCACTTCTGATGTGAGAGAATTGGCCATCTGCAATGATGTTGCTCAGGTGATGCCCGGATGTTTTACCATCCTGTGGGAGGTTTCTCTCATGTCACCGCATGAGAAGCTGGAGTTGACAGACAGGGGCTCACCCCAATCCCTGGATCTGAAGTGGCAACCTGTCAGTCAGCAGTTCTGGAGTGCCATCGGGCGGTCCTACATTTTAGTGCTTCCTCACAATAGCAAAACTATAGTATGTGTAGAAATTGAACATAGCAGGTTCCTTTAAACCAGTTTCTCCTAACCTGAGTGAAAGCCATCAGGTTTAATCCAATTTATATTCCCAACCAGAATAGAACTACTGACATTAGCGCTGAATTTACCAAATGTCATTCACCTCAGTGGGTCTGTTCCAGTTGGAACTGATAACTAGATTTAGCCCTTAATTCCCTATTAATCTTCACTAATCCAAAAACACAATCTACATTATTTTGTAGAAGGAATAGCATATATGTTGCCAGGCGGTAACTGGAGGAGGAACGATGCGCTGATGCAATGTAACTGACCATTTGTTAGATACCAGGTCTTTCCAGATGTTTTGAATTAAAAAAAACTCAGCACACCCAGCCTGAAACTAAAATGTTCCATTTGTAGTTCATTATAATGGTAATTGTTGCAATTACTCCAATGCATTAAAAACATTCCTGATGTAAAAGTTTCCTGGTGTAAACTGAACTGGGCCTGGGGGCTCTCTACTAAAATGTAACCGAACTTTGCTTTTTTATAGTAACATTCCAAGTTCATACAAAGCAAGATTTACATGGGAAGAGGTGGCCTTTCAGGTATCCTGGTTGTAAACCATTTTGTAGTTTACTAGTTAAGCACTGAGACTCTGCATTAAGGTCAAGGTAAAGCTTTTCCCCTGACGTTAAGTCCAGTCGTGTCTGACTCCGGGGACTGGTGCTCATCACCATTTCGGCATTGTTAGTAGACACCTCCAAGGTCATGTGGCCGGCATGACTGCATGGAGCGCTGTTACCTTCCTGCCAGAGAAGTACCTATTGATCTACTCACATTTGCATGTTTTTGAACTGCTAGGTTGGCAGAAGCTGGGGGTAATAGGGTGAGCTCACATTGCTTCCTGGATTCGAACCTGCAACCTTTCAGTCAGCAAGTTCAGCAGCTCAGCACTTTAACCCACTGCGCCACTGGGAGCGCATTAAAACTAGGTGGAAACCTAAGTGGAAACTATTGCAATTCACATAAAACTACTGTTGTTATACATAAAAGTAGCAGAGCAATCTGGCTGGCCAATTTTTCAGAAAGTGCAGCTGATGTATACAAAAATGACTGCCTAATCTCATGGTAGGGATGGTCTGTATGTTTTGAGCATCCCAGCTAGTACGCTTATGTGCTTTGTATTGAGGCATGACTCTGCATTGCATCACATTGATTTAATACTCGACAGTTTTTCAGGAGTCAAAGATGATCCACACAGAAAAACGTGACAAGATGACAGTTCTAATTATTTCAGGCCTGTGTGACTTGATCAAATTACTTCTAAAATGGGAATACTGTGGTATATCTGGCCTTCTTTGGGGTTAGCAGAAAGCCTGTAAATATGTCTCCTTGGTGGCAAATCACAGAACTGTAGACTTGGAATCAGTTAGTATAATCAGTTAGTATAATCATCTGCCAATTCATGAATCAACAGAATAGATACAGAAATTACCATCAGCAGATAACTGGCTGCTTCTTTCACTGCAATTGGCAGTAAGGACAGAGAAGAGGAATGAAATAGCTATTGGATCAATCAAATTCTGACAAGTGGAGAAATGCTGCACTGTACAACATAGAATCATAGAATCATAGAGTTGGAAGAGACCTCATGGGCCATCCAGTCCAACCCCCTGCCAAGAAGCAGGAATATCGCATTTAAAGCACCCCCAACAGATGGCCATCCAGCCTCTGTTTGAAAGCCACCAAAGTAGGAGCCTCCACCAAACTCTGGGCCAGAGAGTTCCACTGCTGAACAGCTCTCACAGTCAGGAAGTTATTCCTCATGTTCAGATGGAATCATCTTCCCTGTAGTTTGAAACCACGGTTCCACATCCTAGTCTCCAGGGCAGCAGAAAGGAAGCTTGCTCCCTCCTCCCTATGACTTCCCCCCACATCTTGATACATGGCCCTCATCATGTCTCCTCTCAGCCTTCTCTTCTTCAGGCTAAACATGCCCAGCTCTTTAAGCTGCTCCTCATAGGGCTTGTTAACTTGGTTAATTCAAGAATATGTCTTTAAGAACTATGTCACAATCCTAAACTCCAAGGATTTCAGTGGGTTTTATGCCAGCTGTAAGACTGAGATAGTGACATTTTATTTCTGGATGGTGGATCCAAGACTGGTTCTTCAATAATCTTATGGAGTTTACTTATAATGAACATAACTGGTGATCAATGGTTGCACTGTTCCTGTGGTTTCTATGCTCTGATGGAAATTAATCTATATTCATATGAAAGCTTGCCCTTGTCCAACTGGTTCTCCCTTGTTGACACAGAATTTACGGTATCTTCAGAAATCCCTTTTGAGATTGTAAGTCCAACTAACAAGCAATCCCTAAGATCCTTCTTTAAACCTTCTCCTCCTATTATAAATGCTTTAGCCATCTTTAAATAAGTGAAAAGTTGTTAGGTTGAAGATAGAGGTTGGATCTCAGTCCCTTTGGGGAGAGAGGGTGGTCTAGAAAAAAAGTATTATTATTACTATCTCTACATTCCCATATAATTCCCATATAATTCAGTTCAAAGCAGATAATCTGGGATCAAATACTGGATTGTATGGCAGTGTAAATGGGGCCAGATTCAGCTTGTTTTCTCCTGCTGCGGAAATAGGACCTGAGTCAATGGATTCAAGAAATACAGTATGTGAGGAGATACAGATTAAATAAAAATTAGAAAAGACTTCCTGAGAGTGAAAGCAGTAACATAAACTATTTGTGCACTTCTTTTTTAAAGTATTTAATCAGTTGGATGGCTTGGGATTTAGCTGTGGATGCCCACACTGGAGCACTCAATGATGCAGTTAGTTAAACAGCTGAGCTGAGGTCGGCAGTTTGAATCTGGGGAGCGGGGTGAGCTCCCACTGTTAACCCCAGCTTCTGTCAACCTAGCAGTTTGAAAACATGCAAATGTGCGTAGATCAATAGGTACTGCTCCTGTGGTAAGGTAATGGCACTCCATGCAGTCATGCCAGCCACATGACCAAGGTGGTGTCTACGGCTCTTCAGTTTAGAAATAGATATGAGCACCACCCCACTGTCAGACAAGGCTAGACTTAATGTCAGGGGAAGCCTTTACCTTTATCCACACTGGACTAGATAGATCTGGGATTCTTTCTATGGCAGTACCTACGCAGACCACTTAATGCAGTTTTAAACTGGTATTGAAGAAAGTAGTTTCACTGTGCAGATGATTACATAGGAAATTCTGGAATCAGTTTTAAGCCCAGATGGTGATTAAACAAACCACAGAGAATTGATGCACATTAAGGGCTTTCTTTCATGCACTTTTATAGGATTCATTGTCTGGCTATTGCTGTTTGAAGCTAACCTGAAACTGCATTAAATAGTCAGTGGAGATGGGGAATATGAGTATATGAAAAGACCTAAGTGAGCAAGAGGATGTAGAAAAACCGAACAGCAAAGCTATACACTTACACATTCACACTGATTGCTTGGGGCTTCTCCCAAAGAGACGAAACCTCCGTGCCAAAGGAAAGGAGGTACAGTTCCTTCATGTAACACAGCTGCTCATCTATTAGCAACTTGAGAATAAAACAAAAGGTTTCAATCAACATCACCAAAAGGAATTTTGAATCCACAGGTTCACTATTTCCAGTCCAACATCTCATCCATCACCATTAATTTAAGGGTGATTCTGCAGTTAAAAACCAAACCAGCCTTCAGCAATATTTACCAGAAGATCTCTTTGAAATTCACACAGCCTTGGTTTACAACTGATATCAGATGTGTCAACCAGCACTCCAGTTTTGCTGCCTTGAACAATGCCAAACATCTGGAGAGGGGAAAACAAGGGAAGAACTGGAAAAATACCATGCTGTGATTAATTTGGATCACTGCTAAATATCATTGTAAACAGCCCTTTCCTCCATTGGACTTAATTCCTAAATTCCTCAGCAATTTGCTGGCAACAGCTGTAGTCCTGGCATTAGCAGGAGAGAATGATGCAGTGGCCACTCCTAAGATGTGTAAAGAATTAAACAACAACAATAATGAAGATTGTTTAAAGAATAAATCTCTCTATGTGCCCCTTAGTATCTGCCCAACACCATTGGCCCCCTCCCCTCCAAAAATGAGTCTGTTGTTGCTTTTGATGCTTGTTTATTATTGTTTATGCTGATTTTATGCTATTTTAATATGTTTTAATTGTATGTTGCCTTGGGCTTGGCCCCATGTAAGCCGCCCCGAGTACCTTCGGGGAGATGGAGGCAGGATAGAAAAATTAAGTTCTTCTTCTTCTTCTTCTGAGGTTAGCCCAGATGGCCCTTGTAATCACTTCTGACTCTAAAGAATCATAAAATAATAGAGTTGGAAGAGAGCTCGTGGGCCATCCAGTCCAACCCCATTCTGCTAAGAAGCAGGAAAATCGCATTCAAAACACACCTGACAGATGGCCATCCAGCCTCTGTTTCAAAGCCTCCAGAGAAGGAGCCTCCACCACACTCTGGGGCAGAGAGTTCCACTGCTGAACAGTTCCCACAGTTAGGAAGTTCTTCCTAATGTTCAGGTGGAATCTCCTTTCTTTCCTGTAGTTTGACGCCATTGTTCCAGGGCAGCAGAAAACAAGCCTGCTTCCTCCTCCCTATGATGTCCCCTCACATCTTTATACATGGCCCTCATCATGTCTCCTCTCAGCCTTCTCTTCTACAGGCTAAATATGCCCAGCTCTTTAATCCGCTCCTCATAGGGCTTGTTCTCCAGACCCTTGATCATTTTAGTGTCTCTTCTCTGGACATATTCCAGCTTGTCAACATTCCCTTAAATTATTAGGGCTAGGTTTGAACAACTCAGTATTATGATGCAAACTGGGCGTTACTGTAACATCCCAAGATTCTGTGTATGGGGGGAACAAACTGTGGAAGATATAGAACATTTCTTAATTGACTGTCCAGCATATACTGAACTGCGATACAGATATTTACATCCAATATTATCCAACTGCAGGTCCCCCAACAGAAATGATCTTCTGACATTCCTCTTGCAAGGAGAGGAAAAATCCACCATAATTCTTTTTATTCTGAAAACTATCAAGAAAAGAGCACATTTCCTGAAAGAAGAACAAGGAAAATAAGATTCTGACTGTAAACAGAAGGTCAGCTGCTGTCCTCTCCTTTTTGCCTTGCCTTTTACTCATGTTGTATTTTGAAATGGTCATATGACTGGTCAAATCAATAAATTATTATTATTATCTCCCTCCAATTGTGGTGCCCAGAATTGGACACAGTATTCCAGGTGTGGTCTGACCACACCTGGTTCGGTGTTTCCTATAATTAGAGATATATTATGGAAACAGGGAAGCCATCATCAATACATAATGGATTCTAGGTGTATCAATTGTATTTTTTAAAATCTATACATTTATTTATTTATTCAGCAATGTAAGTATTACCACACAATTTATAAAGACAGCAGTTTTCTCCTCTCTGACTTATATTGCTATATACCTCTATTTAAACTGCTTTGCCCCCACCCTCCTCATTGCAAAATAATAATCAAAATAATAATTAAAGATTAAAATAGACTTCCCACCTCCTCATTGTCTTTTAGGTAGTTCTTTACCTTTCAATTTTTGTACATAGAGTAGTCCCGCTGCAAAAGTAATGTAACATACTGACTTGAAATTTATTTATCGTGTCATCAGCAACCATACCATTATGTTACAATTCTAACAGAACAAAACAAACACACAGATTAAAAAGAAAAGAAAAAAAACCACAGATTTTGCAAACTTGGTAGTTGGTTAAATGTCCTTTGACCAGTATCTGGCCACTTGGAGTGCCTCTGGTGTTGCCGCAAGAAGGTCCTCCATTGTGCATGTGGCAGGGCTCAGGTTGCATTGCAGCAGGTGGTCAGTGGTTTGTTCTTCTCCGCACTCGCATGCCGAGGATTCCACCCTGTAGCCCCATTTCTTAAGATTGGCTCTGCATCTCGTGGTGCCAGAGCGCAGTCTGTTCAGGGCCTTCATTGCTTGAGGTGCTGGGTTTGGGCCTGCCACTTTTGGACTCTCGCTTGCTGAGGTGTTCCAGCGAGTGTTTCTGTAGATCTAAGAAAACTATGTCTTGATTTAAGTCGTTGATGTGCTAGCTGATACCCAAACAGGGGATGAGCTGGAGATGTCTCTGCCTTGGTCCTTTCACTATTGGCTGCTACTTCCCGGCGGATGTCAGGTGGTGCAATACCGGCTAAGCAGTGTAATTTCTCCAGTGGTGTGGAGCGCAGACACCCTGTGATAATGCGGCATGTCTCATTAAGAGCCACATCCACTGTTTTAGTGTGGTGAGATGTGTTCCACACTGGGCATGCATACTCAGCAGCAGAGTAGCATAGCACAAGGGCAGATGTCTTCACTGTGTCTGGTTGTGATCCCCAGGTTGTGTCAGTCAGCTTTTGTATGATGTTGTTTCTAGCGCCCACTTTTTGCTAGATGTTCAGGCAGTGCTTCTTGTAGGTCAGAGCACGGTCCAAAGTGACTCCCAGGTATTTGGGTGTGTTGCAATGCTCCAGTGGGATCCCTTCTCAGGTAATCCTCAGAGCTCGGGATGCTTGTCTGTTCTTAAAGTGAAAGGCGCATGTCTGTGTTTTAGATGGATTAGGGATCAGTTGGTTTTCCCTGTAATAGGCAGTAAGAGCACCTAGAGCTTCGGAGAGCTTCTGTTCTACCATCTCAAAGCTCCCTGCTTGAGTGGTAATGGCACGATCATCAGCATAGATGAAACTCTCTGTCCCTTCTGGCAGTGGCTGGTCATTTGTGTAGATGTTGAACATGGATGGAGCAAGCACGCTCCCCTGAGGCAGGCCGTTCTTCTGTTTCCGCCATCTGCTTCTCTGGCCTGGAGCTCAACAAAGAAGCTCCTGTTTTGTAGCATGGTATTGTTTGTTTTTTAAAAGTGCCAATTAAAATAATATTGGATTGAATTGTGATCTGATTTTTAATATATCTTGCAACTAATTTTGTATCCACCTCCAATATTCGTTTCCTTTGTCACAAGTCTTCTACATATAATAGTACATATTTTGATGCGTATCACACTTCCAACCTAAATGGGACTTTTAAATCCAAAAACATACCTAGAACCCATACAAATTGGGGGCTTTGTCAAACTCAATAAAACATTGGGCTCCAGAAGCATGGAGAAAGATTTCTATCTCTGTCTGAAAATTGCTGCCACTTAATTCCATTGCTTGACTATGTTATATCTTCATCTTCACAATCCATAAATGGTGGCTTTAAAGTGAATCAATTGTGCACATTACCTTTTTGCTGCCTTGCAACAGCCACTGAATCCGCTTGTCATACAGATCAATAGCTCTGTTGCGATGGAAAGGAGAAACAGAATGAATACAAATAATGAAATTATGCTGATAAGACCATGTTTTTTATTCCGAATCATAATTCTGAAGAGAGAGGGTAACAACTGACTGCATAGGTCACAACAATAGCTCCTGGGTAGAGGTCTCTGGTGGGACGGATGTGTTTTTGCCTGCACCTACTTCATTAGATTATTTTTAATTAGAGATGCCAGAGACAGAATTTTCTGGCTTTCTGCATGCAAAATATGCCCTCCCTCATTGAACTATGGCTGTCTGGAAATAACACACAACAAACAGATTTAAGGATTGAGGGGGTTAGACGCAAAGCGAAACCAGGTCACCTTGTTCAATTTACTCACTGGGGATTAATTTAATCCTAACTTGGCAGAATCATTGTTAAAAAAAACAAAAAACAAAGCAGACTGATGTGAAAGGAAAGAAATGCATCCGAGACAATCTGTGGCTGTGACTTTAAATAATGTGTCTGAGTTAGTTTCTGTGCAGCTGGAGAGCCGGTTGTAGTCACCAAAAACTAGTTAGCAATGTATTGTCGAAGGCTTTTATGGCCACAATCACTGGGTTGTTGTAAGTTTTTTGGGCTGTATGGCCATATTCCAGAAGCATTCTCTCCTGATGTTTCGCCTGCATCTATGGCAGGCATCCTCAGAGGTTGTGAGGTCTGTTGGAAACTAGGAAAATGGGGTTTATATATCTGTGGAATGTCCAGGATGGGAAAAAGAACTCTTGTCTGTTTGAGGCAAGTGTGAATGTTGCAATTGGCCACCTTGATTAGCATTTAATGGCCTAGCAGTTTCAAGGTGTGGCTTCTTACTGCCTGGGGGAATCCTTTGTTGGGAGGTGATTAGCTGTCCCTGATTGTTTCTTGTCTGAAGCTCCCCTGTTTTTGAGTGCTGTTCTTTATTTACTGTTATGATTTTAGAGATTTTTTAATACTGGTAGCCGGATTTTGTTCATTTTCATGGTTTCCCCCTTTCTGTTGAAATTGTCCACATGCTTGTGGATTTCAATGGCTTCTCTGTGTAGTCTGACATGCTAGTTGTTAGAGTGGTCCAGCATTTCTAGTTAGCAATTTGTGTTTCCCAGCCTACCACAGCTTTCATGAAAAAATAACCTGGCCTACTGATTACTAAAGGAGAAGCTTGCAGACACAGGTTAACTGTCTTACACTAGATCAGATTGCTTATCTGTGTCACATTTGTCAAACTTAAGGCACACGCTCTGAATCCAGCCCACCATGTCATTGCATGTGGCCTTCTGGATACATGCTGAAACTCCTGTATTCCTCATCATTAGACATCATGACTAGAGCGGGTGGGAATTGGGATACCGCAACATCTGGGATGATGCTGTTTGCTCTGCTTAGTCAAGAGAATGGGATTTGGATTGAGAGACAAAGCTTTTGGAGATGACGTCTGACTTTAAAATGTCCTTGAACCTTTCCCCTACCTCAAGCCCAAAATGTACTGTTGGGCTGCCATTCCCATCATCCCCAGTCTGCATTGTGGTTAATCAAAAGCATGCAGTCGCACCCAAGCTGCTTTAAATGTCTCTTTTTTGTTAACATGTCCTAATTTTCTGTCTGCTTGGGGGATGTGGATTGTTTTCCTGTTTGAGCAAGGAGCCCCACAGAATCAATGTCCACATTATTGCTTTCACAAAATGGTAACTATTTAATAACTGGTCTTGGGTCTATCTCCACCCAAGCACTAATTTTATTTTCCAACAACAAGGTCCATATTTGAAGGATAATTGATTGTTCCTGAAGCTTCCAGTCAAGGACGATTTCTGAGGAGAAGAATAGATCGCAGTTTTCCTTGCTCGCTGTCTCTGGTATAGGGACCTCTGGGGTGTCCAATGCCCAAGGCATTAATTAGTTAATGGTTAACTAATTATTGGTTGATAAAGATTGACTTGAAATGAATTATCCAAGCCTGGATATCACTGGGACCAACTGGAGACATGTCTTGCTTCCAAGATTATCTGGCGGTCTCTGATCTAAAATGGCCCCCTTTCCTCAGGCAAAGGGGCAGAAAAAATGGCTGACACAAACAAGGAAGGGGTTTCTTAAGACCCCACCCTTATAAAACTAACATAAAAGTGAATACTCCAAAACTATGGGTGAGGAAGTCTGACAAAAAGAAACTGGAACTTATATAGTTACAGCACAATGGGAGTTGTCATTCAATAACATCTGGGGACTATGCACCGACCACTATGTAGAAGAATTATAGTTGTCCCTCTGTATCCACAGATTCTCCATACAAGGATTCAATGGCTCTTTGAAGGCAACCCTAAGGGTGATCTGGCCCTTGATGGAAATTAGACCAGGGTGGTCTGTGTAGCCCACTGCCGTTCGATGTGCACATGTGAATGTAAGAAGGAACATGTTGTGGATTACTTACGCGTGTAATTGAGTTTCAAAATCTTCAACAGCCTCTTTGGTAAATTCAATATGTTCTGTCCCATCACTTGCATTTCTAAAAAGAAACAAGTGCATCTGAATGAGCAAGCAGTCACAACCAGATTGAAATGAGTTGACCATGTACTTACATCACAATGTTGCCCTTCTTGACCAGATTGTCCAATGTGAGGTGCATGTTTTCTAGACCATAGACTTTAACCCAGTTATCGGTGGCTTTTAACCCTGCAAACAGTGCAGCAGTATTCCTAAGTCTCTGTTGAAGAAAGGAGGACAATTACATGAGATTATGTAATTTTTATGCAAGGTATAAAAAGAAGTGTTTTATGTTACAATACAGACATGACGTTGCAAGATACAGTGCCGAACCAATCTTATGAGAACTCACTTTCAGGACTATATGATCGTACATAAGTATGGTATCCATCAGGCAAAGCTTGAGGAAAAGTCCTACAGGGATGAATTCTGAGAATACCAAGGTGTGACTCCAGCCCCATTTGAGAAAGTGTCCCTAAGAAGGCTTAATAGCACTAAATGTTGTACTCCAGGACAGGAAGCACCTCTGCATCTAAGTCCAAATGTATGAAACAGTCCATAAGAACGTACAGGACTATACGATCGTACGTAAGTATGGTACCCATCAGGCAAAGCTTGAGGAAAAGTGCTACAAGAGTTGCATGAAAAACCAGGAAAGCAAAAGAATCAGGATACACAAGGCAGCATAAAATCCAATGCACAAAATTCAGGAACAATCCTTTAAAATTGGAAGCATCAAACATGAACAACTGGAAATATGAAACTAGAATTCCCTTAGCAGGCTTGATGAGGACTTGGCAAGAGATGTTGCTTCAAATTCCAATGACTGCTGAAAAATCCCTTTGGTCTCTCTAATAAAGCCATGAAATCATTCTGTTTTCCCTGACAAACGGATAATGGCTTTTTCTCTAATAAGTGCTGTGATCTTCGCCAAGTCTGTGAATCAGCTCAGAGTTTGTGAAAACTAAGTATCCTATCTATCAGTTCATTCACCTCTCCACCTTGTAGTTCGTCCTCTGAACTCGTTTCCCTAGAGAAAGACTTATCTGGGCCCCTCTCTGGAATGTGACCTTTGCCTTTACTAACTGCAGGAGACACAGAATGCTCAGTTTCAGGACTCAGGACGCAGGCTCAGCAGGCCCAGAAATCCCATGATCCACTTCCTCATTGACATTGTTGTTGTTCATTCGTTCAGTCGTCTCCGACTCTTCGTGACCTCATGGACCAGCCCACGCCAGAGCTCCCTGTCAGCTGTCACCACCGCCAGCTCCTTCAAGGTCAGTCCAGTCACTTCAAGGATGCCATCCATCCATCTTGCCCTTGGTCGGCCCCTCTTCCTTTTGCCTTCCACTTTCCCAGCATCATTGTCTTCTCTAGGCTTTGCTGTCTCCTCATGATGTGGCCAAAGTACTTCAACTTTGTCTCTAGTATCCTTCCCTCCAATGAGCAGTCGGGCTTTATTTCCTGGAGGATGGACTGGTTGGATCTTCTCGCAGTCCAAGGCACTCTCAGAACTTTCCTCCAGAACTTTCCTCATTGACATTAGGCACAATCAATGGCTGAATTACAATACTAAAATCATGTTATTAAGAGGTCAAAGATAATCCAGAAAGAGGTACTCCGTTCTCCATGCCTCAGATACCATTAGCAATATTGAAGTGGCTTAAGATGATATCAGATCCCAAACAAGGTTAAATGCCAGATTGAAAAGGGATCCAGATGATCCGTTGCATGCAAAAAGACCTGGTTCTACAACTACAAGTTTGGCATTCTTAAGCAATTATTTGTAACTTTGTTGTTGTTAATATTACATTCAGGGAGTTTAAAAGACAGCTTCTTCAACAGAAGATGGTGAAATATTTCACCATCTATCTACCTGGTTCCAACATGCCAAATTTCACTATCTTGGAAAAACTTATATACAGTATACATGTGGCAGTCCTTATTCCTCTAAGAATAATACCAATATGATCAGATTGCATAACCGAAATGTTTGTCCCATAAGCCTCACAGCTTGAACCCTTTAGTTTCACCGATCGCATACAGTACCAGTAAATCCTGTGTCTGGTTGATATTAGTAACCAATAATCCATTATCCTCTTCAAAGCCTGTTATGGAAATATTTTGCCATGATCTGCGCCCTTTTGGCAAAGCAACATTTGATTCTGGATGTATTCTGCAAAAAGGAGGAAATAATGGTTACTGCAACACCACATAAGTACTAGTTCCTTCCTCTCCAGATATATCCCGATATTATTATAAGATGACAACTGTCCACCGTGCAGATGTGCATTCATTGTGTTCTTTAATTACAAACAGTTTCAAATGTTAGCATATTAATTTTAAGATGTCTGATTGCTAGGCATATAAATGTAAACATGTGCTTCTGGGGGACAGTCACCTGATAAAATATACTGGTATAACTTATTACAGTAGGCTCTTAGTTAACCAGCACCCATAGGGATTGGTAGATGCCAGAAAAATATAGTTTCCGGTTGCTTCAGTTACTGTTGAATACTAGATCTAATTAATACTATACTCTATACCATACTATAAACTCTATATTGACTTGATATTGATACAGAAATACAGTGATTCAAAGCAAATTAAGACAGGGTTTCTGTGAGTTTTCCAGACTGTATGTTCATGTTCCAGAAGCATTCTCTCCTGACATTTCACCCACATATATGGCAAGTATCCTCAGTGGTTGTAAGGTCTATTGGAAAGTAGGCAATCTTGATTAGCATTAGTGTACTCACAAGAAGTTACTGAAATCCACAAGTATGTGAACAATTTCAACAGAAAAGAAGAAACAATGAAAATGAAAAAAATCTGGCTACCAGTATTAAAAAAACTCTAGATTCAGGACAGTAAATAAAGAGGAACACTAAAAAAAACAGGGGAATTCCAGACAAGAATCAATCAGAGCCAGCTAACACCTCCCAGCAAAGGATTCCCCTAGGCAGGAAGCAGCTAGGCTTTGAAGCTGCAAGGCCATTAAATGCTAACTAAGTTAGCCAATTGCAACATTCACACTTGCCTCAAGCAGACAAGAGTTTTTTCTCCCACCTTGGACATTATTCCACAGATATATAAACCCCACTTGCCTAGTTTTCAACAGACCTCACAACCTCTGAGGATGTCTGCCATAGATGTGAGTGAAATGTCAGGAGAGAATGCTTCTGGAACATGGCCATAGAGCTTGGAAAACTCACAGCAACCCAGTGAATCTGGCCATTAAAGCCTTCCACAACACAAATTCAGGCCAATAAAGACAAGCGTAACATAACACAGTTTTACTGTATTATAAAAACAGCTTTGGGCATGCAACATGCAATTTTAGTTAAGCTCTTTTGCTGGTTGCTTGAGAGTTCCTGTTGTTGAGTTTCAGTTAACTGGGTGTCTACTGTATTGTTTTAACAGATAATGTGGTACCAGAGATAGAAATAATATAGAAAGACTAGGGATAGGTTCTTGCATCACAAAATAGAAGAGAAAATCAATTCAATATGATTCAGCAATGTGAAGTAAAAAAAAACTAGGTCTGGGAAGTCTTGCGAGAGTAAACAAAAACATTTTTAATCTGCTACAGAGTGCATGAAACTGTCTTCCAAAGTACATCCAGGGATGATTTTGTCTTTCACCAGATTCCATTTTTCTTATGATTTCCCCCTTGATGGGTGAATCTGTAGAACTGGGAATAGCTGGTAATGCAGGCTGAATCTACACTGCCATATAAACCAGTATCCCAGAATTCAATTATTATTGAATTGGACACTTAAGTGATTCTGAATTCAATGCAGGTGACTCAAATCAATTCGTTCTTTGATTTATCTCTTTCATGGACGCCATGTTCTTTGGAAGTTTGTTTACAACACGGTAATGGCTTGTGATGGGCACACCGAGTGCAGCGCCTAAAGACCTTGGCCTGCACTTAAACACAATCGGCGCTGACAAAATTACCGTCTGCAAGCTTCAAAAGGCCACCCTACTGGGATCTGCACGCATTATTCGCTGATACATCACACAGTCCTAGACACTTGGGAAGTGTCCGATGTGTGATCAAATACAAAAGCCAGCAGAGTGATCTTGTTTGCTGTGTACTAATTTTGTTTTGATTAAAATAATAATAATAATAATAATAATAATAATAATAATAATAATTCCATACGTTGTTAGACCAGGCATGGGCAAACTTCGGCCCCCAGCTATTTTGGACTTCCACAATTCCTAACAGCCTCAGGCCCCTTCCTCCCCCCCACCAGATGTTTAAGCTGTTAGGAATTATGGGAGTTGAAGTACAAAACACCTGGAGGGGTGAAGTTTGCCCTTGCCTGAGTTACAGTGGGATTTGTTATTAATATTATGATGCAACATCTTTCTAGAAGCAGAAAATTTTCAGCAGCAAGATATAATAATGGATTTTGCTTCTATTGAACTATTGCATTTTAAAGTAACCAGATCAATGGAGAGGGAAATCTGAAGCCAAAAAAGGGTGTATTTTTATAATCCATAGACATCAACTTGTAGGAAGGGATGATGAAAGTGGAAGTCCAAAAACTACAATTCCCCGTACAAAATGCCAAAGAAGTAGCTGTGTATTTTAACAAAGGTCTCCAAAAAAATAAGCTACTGTTTAGCTATTTTTGGCAGTGCAGAAGAAAAAAAACCATACGTGAAAACTGCTAAGGCTGCATTTCTATTTATGAGGATCTCATCACAGCGGCCGAAGGCTAAAAGAATCTTACCTCAGATGTTTAAAGAATAGCTCATTGTCCAGTAACTGCGTCATCTTCTATCTGGGCAAAATACAGGACTTTATTTCTGCTGTTTTGAAAGGAAAAGCAATTTTCAAATAGCATCTTCCCTTGCTTAGTGAACTGTCCTATCCAGTTATGCAGTAAGACCCAAATTTTGGTTCGATTGCTGCCTGCCATTCCCTTGGCCAATACACATTTAGGTGCCTCCAATCAGGCCCATAGCCAGGATTTCGATTCAGGAGGGCTGAGTTTTTTTTGGGGGGGGGGGGGGGGTGAGTCTGAGTGAAAGAGGGTCTACCCTAGCAAACCTTTTGTATTTACCCCAATACCCCCATGCATATGGGATATATTAAGCGTGGTGATCAGATCATGATATGAATAAACATAACAGTTTAAATAATGCATCAGTAATGCCTTTTCGCGAACCATGAGAATTTGGGGGGGGGGGTGAACCCCCTCACCCCCCCCCCCCTCCCCGGCTACCTGCCTCCAATATTAGCCCTGCTATTGGGTATCTTTGACCAGCTGATTCCAAAAATGCAACCAGTTTTCTCCTCATGGCTCTAGTTTTTGAGATACAGGATATGTGCCATCTACCAGTTGCTATCTCCTCACCCATCAGGATATTTCAATGTACAGTAGAGTCTCGCTTATCCAACATAAACGAACCGGCCGAACGTTGGATAAGTGAAAATGTTGGATAATAAGGATGGGTTAAGGAAAAGCCTATTAAACATCAAATTATGTTATGATTTTACAAATTAAGCACCAAAACATCATGTTTTACAACAAATCAACGGAAAAAGCAGTTTAATACGTGGTTACGTTATGTAGTAATTACTGTATTTACAAATTTAGCACCAAAACATTGCAATATATTGAAACAGTAGTGGATCCGAGCAGTAGGCAGACTGCGCTGGATAATACAGAACATTAAATGAGTGAGGGTTGGATATGCGCATCTCCCTTTATGAACCATGTAGGACCTTAAGATCGTCTGGGGAGACCCTGCTCTCGTTACCGCCTTTGTCACAAGTATGTTTGACGGAGACAAGAGACAGGGCCTTCTTGGTGGTGGCCCCTCGGCTGTGGAACGCCCTCCCTATATATATATATGAGATCGACTTCCTCCCTTTTAATATTCCGGAAAAAAAGTCAAGACGTGTATATATGTTGTTTAGTGCATTTATTTATTTATTTATTTGGCTTTTAAAGTCTCTTCCGCTGTGTTTTTCGGTTCTTTAATGAGTGATGGTCACTCGTTGGCCTGATAAGTATATTGTGTTCAAATTTGGTGTCAATTCCCCCAGTGGTTTTTGAGTTATATTAATCCCACAAACAAACATTACATTTTTATTTATATAGATTTAATGTTTATTTTACTTAAGTGATATTTGTCTTTACTGCTCTAAAGTAGCACAAATCCTATGTAAAATCATACTACGTATTTTTGACATTAATATCAAAATCTGAAATATATATGGAAAGTCTTTATACTTTGATTTGCATAACATACGTGTTTTGAAGAGTTACGCAACTAGAATTCTTTGGCTAGTAGAGCCAATGGCTACTTTGGTTAAAGGAATCTGGAAATTGTAGCAAATTGGGTTGTTGTAGGTTATATGGCCATGTTCTAAAGGCATTTTCTCCTGACATTTCGCCTGCATCTATGGCAAGCATCCTCAGAGGTAGTGAGGTCTGTTGGAACTAGGAAAAAGGGTTTATATATCTGTGGAATGACCAGGGTGGGACAAAGGACTCTTGTCTTCTGGAGCTAGGTGTGAATGTTTCAACTGATCATCTTGATTAGCATTTGATTGCCTGGCAGTTCCCGGAGCAATCTTTTGTTGAGAGGTGATTAGATGTCCTTTCTTGTTTCCTCTCTGTTGTTGTGTATATTATTTGAGAACACAGAAATAATGGACCACTCCAACAACCACCATGTCAGACTACACAGAAAAGCCATTGAAATCCACAAGCATGTGGACAATTTCAACAGAAAGGAGGAAACCACGAAAATGAACAAAATCTGGCTACCAGTATTAAAAAACTCTAAAATTACAACAGCACAACAACAGAGAGGAAACAAACAAGGACATCTAATCACCTCTCAACAAAAGATTGCTCCAGGCAGTCAGGCCATTATATGCTAATCAAGGTGGTCAGTTGAAACATTCACACCTAGCTCCAGCAGACAAGAGTCCTTTGTCTCACCCTGATGATGGGTAACATTATCAGTGGATGAGAGGGGAAAGGACAGGGCCTAAGGCGGTCAGGAATTGTAGGATATGAAGTGCAAAACACCTGGAGGGAGGGCCCAAGTTGGCCCAGGCCTGCTCTAGCTTCTTCTCTGAGAGGTAAAGGCAAAACAACTTTGCACATGCTCAGGACTACTCTTCACTGTTCAAAGCCCACTCTGTAGCTTTCACCTGGCTGAAGGGATGCCCCATGTGTCCCCCTTTCTCTCCTGAACTGGGACCCCAAAGCCTTCCTAGCAGCCTCCTCCAAAGAGCCTGGACTCACCCTCAGCAACTCACTCTTCCAGGCAGGCACCCCTCCTTCTGCACATGGGAAGACCAGGCCCAAGGAACACTCCCTTGGCTTATATTGTGTTCCTGTTGCCAAGGGAGATGGGAGCAACCATTCTCCACACAGAAGAAGGGAGCCCTGGGTGCAGGGAAGAAACATCTCTCTGGGAGTAGAAAGGGACCAGGCCACAGCATAATGAACGCATTAACAAAAAGGGCAAAAGGCAAAGAGCGAGTACCGTAAAAATACAGTGCAAACTGGCAAAAGAAGGCTCTCTCTGGACAGTTCCTGAGAAAAACAGAGAGCAAGGGAAAAACATGGATGTGGCTCACAAATTGAACTTTGAAAAAGGAGACGGAGGGCCTGATTCTGGCAGCCCAAGAACAAGACATTAGAAACAATGCCATCCAAGCCAGAATTGAAAAGTCGATGAAAGATTCCAAGTGTAGACTTGCAAGGAAGCAGACAAAACTATGGATCACATACTCAGCTGCAGCAAGAAGACTGCGCAGACGGACTACAAGCAGAGGCATAACACCGTTGCTCAGATGATCCACTGGAGCTTGTGCCACAAATAGCATCTGCCTGCGATAAAGAATTGGTGGGATCACAAGCCGGAAAAAGCTACAGAAAATGAACATGTCAAACTACTCTGGGGCTTCTGAATTCAGATCGACAGAGTTTTCATAGAACCATAGAATCAAAGAGTTGGAAGAGACCTCATGGGCCATCCAGTCCAACCCCCTGCCAAGAAGCAGGAATATTGCATTCAAATCACCCGACAGATGGCCATCCAGCCTCTGTTTAAAAGCTTCCAAAGAAGGAGTCTTCACCACACTCCGGGGCAGAGAGTTCCACTGCTGAACGGCTCTCACAGTCAGGAAGTTCTTCCTCATGTTCAGATGTAATCTACTTTCTTGTAGTTTGAAGCCATTGTTTCGCTTCAGAATTCAGAAATCCCAGAGTAATTTGACATGCTGCACAATACTCCTGACATCATGATTGTGGAGAAAAACGAAGTATGGATCGTTGATGTTGCAATCCCAGGCGATGGCAGAATTGATAAAAGTAACTGGAAAAGCTGACATGGTATGAGGAATTAAAGATCGAGCTGGAAAGACTCTGGCACAAAGCAGCAAAGGTAGTCCCAGTCCTAGTGGCGTTGGGCACACTGGGTGCAGTGCCTAAAGACCTTGGCCAGCACTTAAAAATAATTGGCGCTGACAAAATCACCATCTGTCAGCTGCAAAAGGCCACCCTACTCAGATCTAAACACATTATTCGTGGATTTATCGCACAGTCCTAGACATTTGGGAAGTATCCGACGTGTCATTGAATACAAAAGCCAGCATAGTGATCTTGTTTGCTGTGTACTAATCTTGTTGTGTATCTAATAATAATAATAATAATAATAATAATAATAATAATAATAATAATAATAATTTTTTATAACAAATACCATCTGCCTGCAACTCAATAATAATAATAATAATAATAATAATAATAATAATAATAATAATAATAATAATGGCTTTGAACACATAACAACAATAATAGCTTTTAACATATACTACTACTACTACCAACCAACCAACCTTGCCAATCTACCAACCTTGCCGACCAAGGGCAAGATGGATGGATGGCATCCTTGAAGTGACTGGACTGACCTTGAAGGAGCTGGGGGTGGTGACGGCCGACAGGGAGCTCTGGCGTGGGCTGGTCCATGAGGTCACGAAGAGTCGGAGACGACTGAACGAATGAACAACAACTACTAATTCTAGAATTGCTTTTAACACACACACACACACACACACACATGCATATATAGGCTTTTAACACATAATAATAATACTATAATAATAACAACAATTATTATTATTATTATTATTATTGGGGGGGGACTGATCTAGGACAATAGGAGCTGCATTTCACCCACATCTATAGACCATTGTGACTCCCACCAATTATGGATCTGGACAAAACTTGGCACACTGTCCCATCAGGACCAACTTTAACTGTTGGCAGTATGCTTTTTTGGGGGAGGAGGTGGACCTGCGATTATGGGAGTGATAGTTTACCCATATCCTTATAAGCATGAAGTCCACATAGAGGGCCAGGCATTATTGACCATCAACAGCTTGAATATAATAATAATAATAATGATAATAATAATAATAATAATAATAATAATAATAATAATAAAACTTTGTTTGTACCCAGCTACCATCTCCCCAAGGGACTCGGTGTGGCTTACATGAGGCCAAGCCCACAGCACATCAATAAACAAAGGCAATAACAAATAATCAATACAGTTAAAATAAAATAAAATAAAACTCAAAAACAAAAAATACACAATAAGCAATAAACAATAACAATAATAACATACAGCATTTAAAAACCTATGTCTGGGCCAAATGTAATAATTAAAATTTAAAATGCTGGACATGAACAAGGTAAGGTAAACTAGGATAGGGTTTTCAGAGAAAGATGAGGGCGCGCAGACAAGCCTTAATCAATATTAAAGTGCATTTGAGGACAT